TATAACCTTTCATGTGTACGCAAAGAGAACTTACCATACTCTGCTCTGCTACGTTATCGCTTGATAGAGATTTTCAATTCGTCTGCTCATCGAAGTCGCTTTCGAAAGTTACAAGAAATATTATTAAACGCAAATTCGTTACTTTTGCCCGACATAAGTCAGACCTTATATTTAAGACTTCCTCAAATTTATCTTCAGATGCTCAGTAGCCAATAAAATATTCGTAGAGCATCTGATCCCGATCTTTTAAGAAAGATATACGAAGAGAAACAGTAACAAAAATCTACTGTATATATCTTTTAACCAGGGAATGGAAAGTTACTTTTTAAAAGTAACTAGTTACAGTTACTCGTTACCGAGTAAAAAATGTAACTAGTTACAGTTACAGTTATCGCTTTTTAAAAGTAACTCGTTACAGTTACCGTTACTTGAAAAATAACTTTTCGTTACTTTTCCGTTACTTTTTTAAAATCAATTTAAAAATGTACTTTTGCATTTTTTTTTATATGTAATACTGACGAATATATATAGTTTTATTAAAAAAAAAAAACATTGTAGAATGTGGCTCAAATAATAAATTAAATAAAAGTAAAATGAGAAGGGTTACGAGCCAAAAATGAAACAGTTTATTTCCGATAAGAACGACGATGACAATGTAATTAAATGTATAAATATATATTAGAACAACAACATGGATAAAACAAGATAAAAACAAACGACGTTTCCACACTTATTGTCATCGTCTTTTAAACTGTTTCGCTTTTGGGTTCGTAGTCCTTCTCATTTTACTATTATTTAATTTATTTTTTAATTTTTTTTAAACACAATTTTGTAATTCTAAAACCTGTCAAATATGCAGCAAACTGAAATATTTGTATGTCCTATGTATTAAATAGAAGATAGAAGTGTAAAATAATTACTGAATCATAACGGCCGAATGTCTAAGGGCTTTCAAGTCTTAGTTCAATCGTGTGCAAAGTAACGACAAAAGTAACTGTAAATTTCGTTACCGTTACCCAAAAAATGTAACTCGTTACCGTTACAGTTACCAAAAAAAGAAAGTAACGCAGTTACCAGTAAAGTTACCAAAAAAGTAACTTGTAACTGTAACTTCGTTACAAGTAACGAGTTACTTCCATTCCCTGCTTTTAACTAACTTAACAATTAACTTCGATTGCTTAAAATTAATTGTCCTTTTTTAAATTCAATTACGAACAGACTTTTCAGATTTCGTGAAAGTTTCGGAAATTTCTACGCATTCGTTAAATAAGTGTGAAATTCGAATTCTTTCGAACATCACTTCACGCAATTGCAACAGTAGTTTTCGACTTGAAAAAACGTGGGAGCAGCTCATGATAGCATTAAAAAAAAAAAGGAGACGAGAAAATAGATTTGGCGTATAAATGTTACGAATTAATATACAAGTACAAACCGTTGTACATTTCACTAAATTTTGCGAAAAAGCAATAACAACAGCAGCAGTTACGGAAATTAGGCAAACCTTCGAATTATCAAGAACTGATGAGCAATGCTATGTAAACGAGTAGCATGAGTACCGACCCTATGATCTCAATGTTAGTCAATCGATAATCATAATGCAACTGTTAAAAAGATTCAAAATTTAAATGTTTAAAAATTAAAATTACCAGAATTGACTTAGAATTTAAATAGTCAAGATATATACTATAATTAATTTGAAAAACATATTTGTACTTATTCTTTAGAAGCTTAATTAAAAAAATTTTTTTAAATCTTTTCACATAAATTATATAATAAAGGAGAACCGTCTCGCTTAAGAAAAATATTTTTATTGTCTTATATTTATATTAAAGCGTGGAAATATTATATAGAATCTAATTAATAAGAAAGATATATCAAGAGGACAATTAGAAAAATACTGTACATATGATTAACTAACTTAAGAATCAACTTTAATTACATAGAATGTATCTTTTTTAAACTCTTCAATAATTATTTTATATGTGAATCAACATTAACCAACGCTCGTGAGAGACATTCATCCCTTTGTTTAACTTCACCTTAAGAAATATAGGCTGATATTCAATGCATGACTGATACATTTGTCAGTTTCCTTAAAAATAAAACACTGTATATTTATTATATTCTTTCTTATTCTATTTCTTTAGTTTAAATTTATTCTTTTACATCGCCTATGCCATCTGGATTTATGGCGAATGTCGCCTCACTCTCTGGTAAACACGGTGAATCATATACCTTGCATATTCTGGTTTCCCCCCTGCCTTTACGCAAATATAATCTCGTCGTGCTTGAATGTGCTAAAATGTGACCACCAATCGGTTTTTTCTGATCACCACCGAACATACTAGCGGCACCATCGACTTGTGCAACCACCTGATTCGTTATAACTACGGCTATTCCATGTTCATCCGCTAGTCGCAGCAGCATTCTAAGGAATCTTCCCAGATGAACCTGTCTAGCTGATAATTCACCTCTGCCAGTATAATCAGTTCTATATAAACCGGTGGCACTGTCGACTATCAGCAAGGCATATCTTGCTTCTGTCATCATGGCACTAGCTAGAAGCAACAATTTGGTCTGATGATCAGTGTTGAATGCTCTGGCACAAGCGACGTTATCAAGCACCGACTGTCCATTGATCTTGTATTTCTCTGCTGCTGCTATTAATCTTTCTGGTCTAAAAGTATTCTCTGTATCTATGTAGAGACACTTGCCCTCTGCACCACCCATGCTGATAGGTAACTGACAGTTCACAGCAAGAGTGTGACACAGCTGAGACTTTCCTGATCTGAACTCTCCAAAGATTTCTGTGATAGAACCAGTTTCTATTCCTCCACCTAACAGCTTGTCCAATTCCTTGGAACCTGTAGTGATATAGACAATATTTGCTCGTGTTTGATGTACCTCTGTGGCACTTTTAAAGCCCATCATGACCATTTTGGACGCTTCCTGCTGCAACTTGTCTGCTTTGGCTTCGCTGATGCCCTTGATCGTCAAGAGATCTTTCCTGGTCGCGTAGGCCACTGACTCAACGGTATAGTAACCGGCATCCTGCAGCTTCTTAATATCTCCCGCTGTGATGCCATTTTTCTGTGCGACAAGTAACAAAGGATAAAACAAAGATAAAACAACTACGTGACAGACGTGTTCGAACGTGTACGGACATGAAGGCACGTAGTCTCGATAGTAGATTCGTACAGCGTGACTTACCTCTAATGTTTTGACCAGTTTCGCCGGAGTGTAATCATCCAAATCGTCTTCTGTATTGAGACTCACTGTTGATGCGGTCGCTTCCATTGCGATTGACTACAAAGATGTCTGTTATGTGCCGAAAAATACCCTATTTGAGGTTAACGCCGTTATTTCAAACTTAAACGTGCTTTTGCGCCAAAACGTCACGTAGTCACGAGGTGCTAGCACTGATCAGCCGAGTATCGTATCTAGGCATGCGCATTTTGACTACACACCGCATTTGGAATCACGTAGAAAGATTTGTCGCGTTGTTTAAAATAACTAAAAATGTTTGTATGTATACTTAAAACGGGACAAATATTCATGGGTGTTGAAAAGAAAGAGAACGAAAATACTAAGTGCAAAAAATGCAAACAACGTGACAGCTGGACAACTGTTGAGTCTGCTGAACGTAGCCATTATTATGCCGGACTCATACTGCGTCAACAATTGACGAATGACGATGGCTGATATTCAATGAACTTCTTAAGCCTTTTGATTGGCTGTAGAACCGAGAGGTCAGAGAACCTAATCTATCCCACAGCCAATCAACAGGCTTGAAAAGTCTTATCGACAGACACAAAATTGATGATACATATGGGATTCGAAAACGTGATAAAGGCTTTTAAATTTTTTGATTGGTCAGTTAGTATCAAATTGAAGAATTAAGGGGGGGGGATCATAGTAAGATTTAACCTCATCTAAAGATTTTCAAGAAAGAGATTGAATTCTGTATGCGTTCGCCATATGGAATTCAATCACTTAAAAATCTCTCATATCTAATTTAAATTGTAAGAAACAAATTACAATTGCATGTGAGAAAAATAATTGATTTATAATTAGATAATTTTTTTACATTTAACTGATTCTTAACATTTCCAGTGCAAAACGCTATCTGATTGATCAATATTCGCAGTACATTACTTTTCCGAGATTTCGTTCTTCGGAATTTCGAACTGTAAAGGCCTTCTCTTCTACAATTAAGGGTGCCGTCCCATTAAGCACGGATCGGAATGACGGATCGGGTATCTCACTAGAATTGAGCATTCCGTTCCAGTTCCGTTCCGTGACAGTTTTCTCTACCCGTCCCATTTAGCAAAAACGGAACGGAATGTCGCGTCGATCGTTGGTAAATATGCTTGATTCATCGATATTTCGTTATTTTGAGCAGTTGAAGCAATAATATACATATAATTTGTGCAATTATCTTGCTGATAATATTGTTGTGAGTTCTCTAAAATATTGAATTGTAACGGTAAAATATATTTTGTAACTAGATTCCTTTCCGTTTTTGCTGAATGGGACGGGTAGAGAAAACTGTCACGGAACGGAACTGGAACGGAATGCTCAATTCTAGTGAAATACCCGATCCGTGCTTAATGGGACGACTGTAAAAATTGACGACTGTAATTGGTTCATTTCTAGCTTATGACTTATAATTTATGATTTATTGTAGAAGGCCCATAACTGATCGATTTACGCTTCGATCTTAATCCTTCAGCCAATGGAATACAGATTTCGGTTAGGACTGACAGTCTTATCGGCTGAATTTTAGGATCTTAAAATAAAGATCCGAAACATAAACACAGCCTCACAGAAACGTTTTTTTTTTTTTTGCATAGCGAATAATTCAACATGGCTGCCTTAAGCTCGCTTTTATGACGTACTTGATGCCAATTGCCAATCATGCCCTCTCCCGCCTTTAATTCGTCTCGCAATTGCTCGGGCCGCGGCCGATCAAGTAAGTTTTTCAGTTCATGGTGCTGATATGCAAATTGATGAGGTAGCGCGATCGTCCATGCTCTTTAACTCTTTAGCTCTTTACGCGCTCGATCGGCGCCGCCGTTACACTGTCACAGGGAATGGCGATGGCATCTGCATTCCGCGAGCGGCGCAATTCACGATCCTTATCATCCAGCGCGTCCCTGAGCGCCGTCTTCTTCGACTTGGACAATACTCTCGTGGAGACCAGAAGAGCGGATGGTCAGACTTGCCGCAAGGTACGAGAGGACCGCGTCTTAACCTTAAGAGTCAACTCCCTTTTCTACCCCCCGCTAGCCCCCCCACCCAATCGGCCGAGCGTATTTTGTTCTTCGCGACAAGTCGCGCTCTCCCACGAGACGTCTCGGCTACTCGCGTCGCAAGAATAGAAGTCGCTCTCCCTTCTCCCCGTCCCGCGTGTAATACGAGCCGATTCCCCGATATAGAGCGCTTTCTTTGCGACGCGACGGCCGTTTCCAGGGCTATTCTCGGCGCGCCGCATCTCGCACCCTCGCGCGAATTCTCGCGTACATTCTTGCGAGAGATTTTAAATCTTCTTTCGGTTTTTGTGCTTCTTTCCTCTCGCTTTTCCACGTTTTTCCCCCCCAGGAGCGACGTGAACGCTCGCTGAGCGCGGAAAAGTGTAGAAGAGTGCAGCTGGTCGGACTTTTTTTTTTTTCGCACTGTGCAAAGTGGTACGAAGTCCGCGAAGCTGATCGCGAGACGAATCGAAATCTCGAAATATTCGAAATATACGGCCTACTCGAGATCGAGGAAAATTTCTTTAACCAAGAAGTTTTGCTGATAGGAGACGATATATTTTGCTGTTATCGCGCGCGGAGATGATTCAGGAAATATTCTAACGATGACTGTATGTAATGCATTGTTTCGACATTATTAATAGAGGTAGTTTTAAGGTTACCGACACGCTGCGGGAACGGAATTCCCGATACACTTCAAAGAGATAGTTTTAATGACTGTGAGCAGCTGCCAGCGGCAGACGCGCGCACGTGTTCCGCGTACGTACGCGTCATCCGCTGGTTATTTTCGGCCACTTCGGTGAGTGTGTCAAAGGGCAAGGCTAGGCAGCGAGAAGACCGTTCTGGGAACTCTGCCAGTTGGCTCTCGACTATGCAACGCAACAGGCAACGCGACAGCCGGTCCGACGCCTCCTAGAATCGCACGATTCCGGAAACTGCTTTCCTGCGGCGTGGACACATCGACGACATCGATACTGGAGCAATAGTGTACCAAACGTGTGCCGTCGGTCTTTCACTTTGACAGACAGTTCACATTCTTTTCTTTTTTTCTTTTTTTTTTTGTTCCACTTCTGCCTAAACAATCGAACACCATGAGTATCCCAGAGGGTGTCACAAAGTGCGTGGCCATGCTAAAGGCGGTGGACACGGACTCGGAAAAGTTCGCCGTGCTCTTCATGGTCACCAAGCTGGTGAAAGGCAAGGATTGCAACTCGGCTGCTAAGAGATTGCTCTTTGAAGCCATCGGAGCTAAGTTCCTCAAGAAGCTGCTGTCTAGTACAAGTGTCCCTGTGGACTGTCCACCACAGGTCTACAAATCGGTGGCGTTGTCCATTCTTTCTGCCTTCTGCACAGAACCCGAATTAGCCGCTCATCCTGATATGGTGGGACATATCCCAGCGCTTCTAGAGATAGTGTCTCAGGCTGATGAGGATGCACCGGACGACATGCTAATCATCGTTAGCGAGGCTTACACCTGCTTGCAGTGTATTGCACAATATCCTCCTGGACAGAAAGCGTTGCTCGAGCAGAAAGGTATTTCAAAGATGTGTGACATATACGCAGAGAAGACTTTCCAGACAGACGAGGCTCTAAATATTCTAGTCACGTTGGTCAGTACGTTTGGATCGGAAGCTTGGAATCCAACAGACACCGAGCCCTTCCACGCCATAATGAATAAGATAGCCTTAGACTTTGAAACTGATCATACGGAGAGAAAATTCGAGCTATGCACCATTCTACAAGCTCTATTGCAATCCTGCAGAAAGGAAGTGATATCCGAAAATACAAAGGAAGAGTCTTGGCCGTTGAGCATTCACAAGGGCCTGAGCGATATCCTAGGATCGAAAATAGGCAAAAAGCAACGGGATCCAGCTTTGAAACTCTCGTCTGTGATGATAGATCTGTTGGGCGCAGATTGGGCCATGTCCGACAAGGAAAAACCAAAGATATTCTTCCTTCTACTCATTCAATTGGCGTCGATCGAAGTCCGAATGCAGTTGGAGGACAAGCAGCTTAAAGCTGTGCTCGAGAATAGCGATTTGATCACGGCTTGCTTCGTCATTCTCGAGATCTCGATTAGCTACATCGTTACAGATCAACTGGATTTGGAGCAGAAAGAAAAGCAGTCTCTGTACACGGCTTTGAAGGGCGCCTTCGCGGCTGTTATCGGTCTGCTGAGTTCCGTATCGAAAATGAAAATGTTGACGAATGTGAAAGAGAAGATATTCGTATGCGCCGTTATCAGGGTGCTTACAGCTTGGATGGCGCAAGAAACAAGCGCGATGCGCCCGCAACTTTACGCCGTGTTACCGTACGTGCTGACGGTGGCTAACGATACCTTTTACGCGCACCGTAACAGGAAATTGGCCGAGAAAGTTAAATGTAAAGCCAAAGCGGACGAAGGAACGTCGTCTGGAGAACCAACCGTTCACGATCCAATAAGCGAGATTGACATATTGAGATTACTATTGCCCGCTCTATGCTATCTGGCTGTGGAAGAGGCCGCTAGAAAGATTCTTCTTCAGCATAAGCAAGACGAAATCTTGTTCGAGTGTCTCTCCTATCATTGGACCATCGTACACTACAAGAAGCCGCCGGTGCCGAGATCGGAGCGTCTGAAACTTCTACAAGACGGTAATCGCACGGAGGAGCTGGACCTGCATATTCTGGAGGAAATGAAAGATTCTAGAACCGCGATGGTGTCCATCTGCAACGTCTTGATGAACATTACCGTGCTGGAGGCAAAATTGGTGGAGGAATCACCGACATTCATTTCGCTGCTGAAGTTCATTTACAACAATCTGCCGGAACTAAAGCAGATCCCAGAGAATCTGGTGCTGCACGGTCATCTAGCGGTCCTAGGCTTGTTGTTAATGAAGCAACAGGCAAAACGTATCAAAAAGAACGACTTCTCGATATGCCGTTACATTCAGGCCACCATAAGATTCTTGTGGGATGCGTACATTATCGATGAGAGTAACGATCCTACCGAACTGGTAGTTTCCATGTCTTACAAGGAGCACTGGATGGAACTCATGGAGCTCTGGTTTCTGGGCATGCAGACGATGTCTGGTGTGCTGCAAGTGATACCCTGGTTGTCGCAATTTACGATAGAATCCGGCTGGGCGGAGGAGATCATCGAGACGCTGAAACGAGTGAAAATCGGCGGTCTGGAACCAAATGTCAAGTCCGCCTTCGAGGATCTGCTGTGCCATTTGGTGAAGGCTGACGATAGCGTCGCGTCAGTGCTGAAAAAATGCGGCGCGTTAACTGTCTGTCGAAATCATCGCATGATGGAGCTTGGAAAGCGCCTTTTTGGAGATTAAGAGCAATGAGAACATTACTGTATAATTTTTGTATTGCGCGAGCGATGTAAAAAAAATTACGCGGAATTGTAGAAGGTAGCGAAGAATTAATTAATCAAGGCGAATAATTACATAGTCGAACTTTTGTATAAAGAGCTAAGATCTTTGTAAAATAATTTCTCTAGTATTTTGCGAGTTAAATTTATTATTTTACGCGTCTTCTGCATATGATATTCGAAATGCGTATGTGCGCGTAGTCCAGTGTATATTTAGACAGCATCACGTCTGGAAATAGTTTCCTGGCAAGCAAGAAAACTAAGAAACTTATCGCTCGATGAAACTCTTAAGTAAATCGTGTATACGGAGATACATGAGAGACTCGAATATGTATATTTCGTTTGTATGTGTGATTCGTTATTATCAGATGTGCTTCTTTTTATTTTACGACATTGTGGAAGCGAAGATTGTTATATTAATGTTACTATAATCCTAAGATGCTTTAATTTGAGAAAAGATTTTGTAATGTGAGAAATAGTTTCCTATTAAATAGAAAAATTTTTTATAAGCGTTCGCTTGATTTCACCATCATCCACTTTCACTTTATGTGCCTAACATTCTTAAATAAGGTTATTTTTAACAAAGTTATTAAAAGAAAGATTACTGGATAGTAGAAACAATTAATTTTGAAATAATTAACTGCAAGCTACATATGCATTGTATTTTTTTTTCAAAATCAAGTTCATGTTTTAATATCCAGAAATCTTTCAGCTACAACTTATAGGCTTTGGAAATAACATATGATGATGTGTTGTTGTTGTTGTTGGCACAACTCATTTTGTTGTGATTACAGCAACGTCCGCGGATGCCACTTCGAGTGTCCACTAATCGGCTCGAGTATTTCAATGAATCAATGCATTTTCTAGGTAATCATTAATAATGAATTAAGTGTCCTAAAAATCCTTAACTGACCGCTGTATCCTGTCGTCTTGAGACCTTCGTTAATTAATAAACTCCACATTCAATATTTGTCTCTTCTACTTTACATCTTGTCTATCAAGAAATCGCTTTGCTAACCATTCTAATTTCTTTTTGTTTAACGAGGAGAAATTCTGCAAGCAAAATACAAGCAAGATGGTTATCTACGATTGTGCACATTTTTATTGAGTGTGGAAAATGCTTTCATCCTCATCTTTTCCTTCATTTTCAGTTCTTCACTCATCATTCTTTATCACTAAACACATATGATTATAATAAAAGAGAGCTAACATCTCATTGTATACGTTTACCTGCAGTTGACTGAGGAATTGACTCGGGAATACGGAATCTCGGAAGATGTGTCCGCCAAGATAACAACCACGTACCTGAAGCAATTTAGAAAATGTCCCGACAACGCGACTCTCACATTGGATGCTTGGCGTACCATCCTCTGGAGCAAAGCACTGGGCCACAAGTATTCGCATCTAGCAAAAAAAGTTTACGAAAGATGGCTCTATTTAAGATATCACTACATGATGCTGGCACCGAATACAGTTTCCATGCTGCGTCAATTCAGGAAGAAATACCTGTTGGGTCTAATCACCAACGGACCGTCGAACGCTCAATGGGAGAAAATTCAAAAGCTGTCACTGGAGCAATACTTCGATATTATCTTGGTATCCGGTGATTTGCCGTGGGAGAAACCAGAAGCAGAGATATTTCAAAAGGCGTGCCATTTTCTTAAAGTAAGACCCGAGGAGTGCATCATGGTCGGTGATAAATTGGAGACTGATATTTTAGGTAGATTGTCTTTTAACAATTTTATAATCTCGCAGAAATCATCTGAAAACATTTATTTCAAATGATATTAGATTGTGTAAATGAAATCAAAAATTATCGTATAGGTGGAATCGAGGCTGGACTGTATGGAACGGTGTGGATACCTACTACGGATAAACCTCGTCTCTCGGTGAACGATCCTAAACCAGATTTTACAATAAGACACGTAACAGAACTTCTCCGCATATTGGACAGAGGCCCAAATGCGCCGGAACTTGAAGACTGTTCTTCAAATGGATCTGATGGCAGTTAATGAGGAGATGCATATTATATTAATTTCTTTTCAAATGAAAAGCGACTCGCTTATAAGTATTTAATGTCTTATTAAGCAAGATTTATCAGATTTTTGTTGTGTTAGCGTTGTTGTTTTTTCTTATTGTATATGTTTTACATATATGATAGTATTCAGATTTAATATATTGATTTACATTAGAATTGATTTTTTTTTTTAAGTTTTTATAACTTTATTAGTTCTACAATTTTCAAACTTTTGTGAAATTTTTATGAAATACGCTGTAACTTTATCTTTACGGTATAGAAACTATCTATATTTCATATGACTTTAATATGAAAAACACACACACAGACAGAGAACTTAAAACAAATGCAATTGTTTTGATAATATTATACAGGATGTCTGATAAATAATTGTAAAATTCTCGTATAGAAGCAGGATAGATTAAACTGAGAAGAAAAGTCCTCTAATATTTTGCATTTATCATATTAGTTAACAAGTTATTAATTAATGAAAATAAATAAAATTTGCCTGGCCTAATGCCAAATGTAAGCGCACGGTGAGAATTTTACAATTAATCATCGGACACCCTGTATATTACCACTTTATAAAAGATGTTTTAAATGACGAGAGAACCACCGCATGTTATGTTTGTAATTATTTAATAACTTACCGAATTAATATCGCAAATAGATGCCAAGTGAGATGTTTTTCAGTTACCTTTTTGAAGTTACCTCCTTGAAGTTAAAATAATTGTAGTATATCGAATGAGAGGGAGACAAAACTTATGTACAAAACAAAATGCACAAACAGAGCCAGTAGTTGTAGATAAACGAACAAAATAAGATATGACAACCATATGCAACTATTTTATCATCCGTATACGTACACTTTAAAAAACCTTAATATATGTAATATATGTATATTTAAGAAGTCTGCATAATATATAACTTCCTGTTGTACAAATGCGTAACGTTTGTGTATCTGTACATAGATATGCACGGAATGTATATGCGCGGCTACAAATGTACATGATACCTATTTTTTCATGTATATTTTATCTCTGTTGAGAATTCAGCTTGTTGGACGGGTTATGAACCACAGATCCTTATACAGACTATATTATGAAATCAAATAGAAGAGCTCAGATGAATATGAATAAAAGATATATGAATCAAATCAGTATACTTTGTTTCCTAACATTTATTAATAAACTGTTATATATCATCAAATGATAAATGAATTATTCTCCTACGTGAACTAAATATTGCATATCCAATGTTTATTTAGTTGCTAATACAATAAGTTACTCGAGGGCGGTATATAAACATATATATATATATATATATATTATATATATAAAGACAATATGACGAATAAGGCGTTGAAAGTAAATGTTTCTTAACGAAGGAACAGAAATAAATTCATTAACTCAGTTTACGATTCTGTTTTATCATTATGTCCAGATGTGATTTCAGATTCCGTCTTCTCCTCTTTCGTTTCCACTGTCTCGTCTTGTGTGGATACGAGATTCAGTGTCGAAGGACTCGGTTCCTCAGAAAACTCAACTGAATTATCCACGACAGAATTATCACGAGCACTTTCAGCAGTTACAGTTTCAACAGGAATTTGCTTGTCTTCCAGTTCTAAATTGTTCACTTTCAAGTCCGAAGAATATAAAGTTTCCATATCTACTTGTGCCTAAATAAAGTAGAAATTATTATTCATTTCCGGAATAACACGAAGAATATTGAATAATCTTACCGCTTCGGTGAGGCTGATGTCTCTACTCTTGTGACGTAGATTCTTGCAAATATGTTGAACTTGTTTGGGATCTACACCTGCTTCCACCAACGATACCAGCACATCTCTTTCGGTGATAAGTAGTTCAGGATTCGCGTCGACCAGCATCACTGATTTTGTGGTAATTTTTGGAGATTTGTCAGCCTTCATCATTTTCTGATAAGACTCTAGTTTCTCCATCACTTTATTCTCATCTAAAATTTTTGGCGGCGTAGGTGGTCTAATCTCAGATACGGTTAATAATTTTTGCGCGTGGATCAAATCTTCCAGCTCCTCGTCTGTGTCTGAATCATCCATTATATTTAAGGAGATCTTTAACTGATAAATCTCGTACAGCATTTTATTCTGAAATAAAAAAGAGAGTCCATAAAGACAATATATTGCGATTAATATTGAATTGAGGGAGATAATATTTGAAGAATTCTAAAATATTAAAACAAAGTTTTTTTATTTATGATAATTTTATTATTTATACCATGTTTAATATTCCTTTATATTGATTGATGTGCTTCTTAAATACATCCTGCAGCTCTTTATCGGTATAAAGACCTCTCTGCATTATTTCTTTGGTGATGTCGTAAACAAATTTAATATATTTCTTCTCTTCTTCTTTTTGAGATATGAATTGTTTGGAAAAAGACTTTTTGTTACATTTTTCATCGCAATCAAAATCGTAACATTGTGAGACACTCGAAGATACCGTGTGATAATCGACTTTTTTCTGTCTTGGGGATTGAGATCTTGATTTAAATATCATTGAATCTAATCTAGTAGCTGCGCAAGGAGCTAAGAACTCTTTTTCGTATTTACACGTTCTATAAAAATAAAAAATGAAATATAAAAGAGAATTTTCAGATACAGATACATGAATCTCGCATAATATATTTTGTTCATAGATAATTAAAATACTTAAAACGTTAAAATAGAGAGAAACCTATCCTTAAAATATATATTTATTGAAAAATACAGCAACAATTTTTGTGTGGAAGTTGAGATGTACAATAATTAATAATTTGAATCTTTAATGCAAGCTCACCTCGGTCGTAAAAAGATAGGTGGACTGACCATGTCATGGACATTTTGCATAGATTTCAAGTCTTTTTTGCAAATAAAATTTGAAAATTTTTTACATTTCGGCGAACATGTCGTTGGTGACGTCATTCTACGGCTCTTTGATGTTGATCGTCGATCCATTTGATCGGTATCATCACATGCGTGACTACTACAAGCTCTCAATTGATCTAAATTACAATTGCAAAAGTCCAGATGCTTTGCATTTAAATTTATTCTTAATATATCCTGTGCGTAAAAATTTCAAAGCATAGATTAAAAAAAATATTTTAGCTTTGGAGAGATAACAAAATTCAAATTCTTAATCTTTAAAATCACCGATTAGCTTAATAATTGTAGAAATATTTATCCGTTTGTTACATTCATTCTAATTTATAATTTTAATATGCTAGTCTAGTTGAACTTTACCATAGGATGATGTTGAGTATCATAGGCCAATCTATCGATGACATCGTCCGTTGCTCCCAGACGCAAACAGATTTCGCTGTCATCAGCTCTTTGCACTTTGTATCGCTGATTTCTTTTCAAATAAATTTTATTTCTTGTATCAACTACGTTTCTTGCCAATAAAATCCGTCGTAGATGCAAGCTCATTGAATTATACGCCGCCAATTGCTCAAAATAATTCTGTCCCGTTTGATTATAAGCTACAATTTTATACAAATTTTAATATTATGAAATTAGAATATCGTTGTATATGTTGAACACTCACTGCTGCTTTTTAGATTAACCTGCTTCTTCATACATCTTGTCATTTCTGACGAAAAATTCAAATATACGATTGTCGATAACTTTAGTGGAAAAAATAATTGAACAAAAGAAAATTCTCTTAAAAAATTTTGAGCAATGTAAAGTGATTCAATGACATTAAAAATTTTCCATTCTCCCTTTAGATGGGAGCTATGCCATGTCTGCCACAGTCTGCCACTTTATTCACGAAGTTTTGTTGACGGTTTGTCACTAAGCAACAGACACGTGCTAAACTCCCGCCATTTGTCTGGTACTTTCATTAAAATCATGGGAATACGCACATGTAGCTATACAATTAATATAATTCAATAAGATTATATTTATAATCAATATAATTCAATAACATTATATTTAAAAATAAAATGAGGAACAGATGATTACATTTGGCATAAAATGGAATGATTAATATAATAATATAAATTTTTATAAAATAACATATATTCTATTTTTATATATTAAATATTGATAAATACTAAAATCGTTATCAAAATATTGACTACACTTTATCCAATAAATATTAAGAAACTTAATACATATAAACGTGTTCGACAACGATTATTCAATATAAAAATAGAATTTCTTTTTTTTTCTATTTTATTAGATTACTATTAAAACGTTAAAAATCTGTATATTTAGACTTAGGCAAAGTATTATTATTGTTGTTCGAAAAGTTCTGTTTTCAATAGACAGCGACAGTAAAATGATCTTCAATCCGATCTTGTTGGAGCTCTTGTATGTACATTATTATTAGTCTTGTAAAGGTATACTTGTGCTAAAATGGCAACATCAATTGTGACTTGAACGGCACCACACACTTGAAATTGCACGGGGGTTTCTCTCAAAATAAAGTAACACGTTTTGAAAATATCTCCCACAGTCCACATTGCCACCATCGCTATGCTAAAAAAATTACAGTAAAATATTAATTAAATTTTCTTACATAACTTAAAACTCTTATTTTCTTTCTATATCTAATCCTTACCTCATTCCTACAGTTGACTTGTTCGAGGAATTGCGGAGAAATTGAGGAACTCCTAGCATAGCTTCTATCAATACTGCTAGGAATCCAATAATTTCAATAAATATTGGTATATCCAGAAATAAATATGTTATCACACCACCTGTGCCAGCGAACAGAACCATGAAACCCAAGTAGGACTTGAAGTCTGTCCACTTCCAAAAGAATCTAGCATCCAAATCTGTAAAGTATAAAAATGCGCCACCTATAAATACAGGTATTTATATATACATATATATTGATTAGTATTTATATATATCTGCAGTATTAAGATATATTCACCTGTAAGTACACGTTCTTTTGCTTTAATTATCTGTGTTCTGTTTTGTACATTAATGCAAAGCTTAATCATAACAAACATTGTCAGAATCATAAGTATACTTTGTAACAAAAGTGGAAGTTCATAGTGTTTGCCAAACCTGCAAAAAGGACATGTAATATCAGTACTTGAAAATACATTTAACAATTTATTTTTGTCATATAGTAATAAACATGTATTAATCCTCCATAGATCATATAGAGATTTAAATGATTTATCAACTTTGAAACATTTTACTGATTCTATCTTAGATTTGGACAGAAAGAGTAAAAAAAAAAAACGTTTCAGGTCATACAATTGTATAATCGTATTTTTAAATATTGAAAAAGTATATCAAAATTATTTCAAATTCTTAGGAGCTAAAAACTCTTTGAGAAACAATTGTCGTTCAGCAACACATATGGTCTACTGTCTAAATGGAAATTCAAGGTAGTCTGTGAAGAGTTAAGACATGTCTAGAATATTAAAACATTATACACAAAGTATTGAACGACATTAAGATGCTTGGGAGTCTGTCTTGTAGAAAAGGATGAGAACTTGTGCCTTTGACAGGTACAAACCAGAATAGTATACGAAGCGTGTTGGCGATCAAGAGAGTGAGGCAAACGTAAAGGGAGAATCCTTCAGCATCTTCTTTTCTTTTGATTTCCTTGTATTGCGGTATATAGGGTATAACCGCGCCGAAGATCAACACACTGGATGCGATCCAACCGGCTAGATTCTTCAGGTTCAGCTCGTACGTGTCGTCCATCGTCAAGAGTCTTCGTTTCTAACATACCGCGCGCTCCGCCGTCGATCTATCGCATCGAGAAGAGATGATAATTATACGTGCGAACAATTAACGAGATAATCGTACGTGTGATAATAATTTACATTTTCAGGTTACAAGCCGGCCATTCATCATCATGTCCCTGATACGTGCCACACGAGCACGTATCCATATTCGAATGTCAGCTGGATGTTGATAGGCCGAATTTACTCGCGTTATACGTTGGGATAAATAAATGTCACTGCATTGTATCAAATTTCGTCTTTTGATAAGACGTTTACACTCGAGACAAGAGATGTATTCTTTCTGCTTTCACACGTTTCTCAATCGCGTTGACCCGCGAGACATTTTACGAGTGACCAATAGAGGTCATCACTAAAGCTCGAAATTTTCAGACTTTTCACATATTGTGCAAATAAAATAAACCAATTCAAAATTTCTAATTTTGGCGTTGGTGTTTAGTATGTATTCACGTTTATTGCCTTCCTTTTGAAGAAGAAAGACAATCAACAAGAGTGAATGATATACATCAAGCCATTGTCCAGAATTGCAAATCTTGGATAGCATTGAAAAAAAGCAGTATAAATATCTCAAGTACAATAAGAATTATAGTATAATCATAAAAGAGACATCGTAATTTAATAAAAATATTTTTTATCGACTGAAATATTTACAGTCGATATGAAAAAAAACATACTTATCATCTATTGATATCGTCACAAGTATATAAAATATATACAAGATAATATTATATAAATAGAATCTAAGTAAAAATAATTATATGCTACGTGCATTTACTAAGTGTTAAAATAATTTTAAACTGTAAAATCCGTCTCTATTATATAATCATATAAAATTTTCGATAAAGTCGCGCACGTAAATTATCGTTAATTATGTACATTCGATAATAGAGTTTTTCGATTATCTTCGGGAAATCGTTTTGTAATTGAATATTCTTTATATGTATTTCGATATATATTTTTGTGAGAAAAAACAATTAGCTAAAAATAGTTAAAGAAATTGCGATAAAATGTAAAATGCAGATCAACGACGACATATAATTCAATTTGTATTATTGTTGATGATACGTAAACAGGATACGATATAACAATAATGTTTCGCAATTATTCGGTAAACTTGTAAACGACAGACGTGTGTTTTCTTTTTTTATCATTTAATTGGCGTACTCTGTTCGACGGCGAGTGAGTGAAAACGAGTGTAATGAATGCGGCCAAGTCCTCGACCGAACAATCGCGATTCATCAACAGGCCGACCCGAGCGACCCGGAGTGTTGGTCGCGGTTAAACGGATTAATTCATTTGTGCCACCCGCCACGGCAAAGCGAGGCAATCAAGTATGTTCATTGAATTAGCCCGGGAGCAGGAAAAACACGCCTTTGCATCGCGTTAATTGTAGTAGCAATACCGCAATTTTTTGCAGGTGAAACTGCCAGACATAATACCAAACAAAACAATAACAATATTGCCGGATACTTGTATTAAACGGTAGCAATTGATTGAAAAAAGGTAATGTAGTTTTCGATTAGATATATAAATATTACGTAAAATATTATGCACAATATATAATTGTGTTGAATGCAGATGCAGTGGCTAGCCTTAATAATTTGCCTTTACGCTGGAGTAGCCAGTGCACGTACAGAGGAGGACCAGCAAACGTCGAGTGCAAGTGGGGTCTCGAATTCTCTTCCAGAACAGTGTTTTTACAGACACCCGATAGATTGTCCAACTTCGGATACAAGATGTCCCTGTAAGAGAATCACTCTTGCAAATATACCGGAGGGCAATGCTGCGCTTTGTTGTAATACGGATCAACAAAGTCTAGAAGATGGTCTCTCTTGCATAGGTGAGAATTGTCATGCGAGAACTCTTTTAATTTATTCAATAGTATGTATACTCAAGTATTTTTGCTACTGTAACTTAGGATTTCAACATTCAAACATAAGTTACGTTCACATACGTAATGCAACATTGGATGTATTTAATGTAAGCGAAGTTCGTTGGAGGATGCTGAAATCTCTGGCCATAACCGATGGCAAGATTAATCGACTGCGGGGACAGTTTCGCATGATGACACCTATACAATGTCTGAATCTTTCAAATAATGAACTACGCGAGGTAGAGAATAATTCGCTGACGCGTTTGGTGCAACTCACTACGTTGGATCTGTCTTATAATAAACTCACTTACCTTCCAGCTTTAAATACGATGAACGGTCGAGAATTCTGGTTAGACATCTCTGGTAAACAAGCTGCCGTTCAATACTGTTATCTTAATTAAACATATACATATTAACATATCACCTCTTTTTGTAGGAACAAATAAACTTTCATGTCATGATGTATATCATTATATCAATAAAACTGGCGAAAAGCAAATCACATTTAATCGCGAGAATGAGACAGTGTGTTCCTCTATGGCAACGTGGCATTGGTTCAATACCACTGAACAAGTGCCTCTTTCGCAGGTTCTTTACCTCAGTTTGGTATGTTTTAATAAATATAACATCTAGTTTGAAGTGTTTTACATACAAGATATAATTAGAATTAATCTTGACTTTTAGTTGCAAACAGAATGTCCGAAAGGTGACACCTGGCAATGTCAGTGTGATATTAGAAGACTAGACATAATCGAAGGTAAACCACCTACACACGCTGTAAGTGTAGATTGCAGCGGAATGCAGCTGACAGAACTACCTGAGAAATTACCACAAAACACTATAGCCCTGAATGTTTCCTATAATAATGTATGTGTGAAACGTGTTAAATAAGATTCTATCATTATTTATCACGTATGAGCTTTAGAATGCAAATTTTGTCTAAATTTTTCTTTCAGATTACAGTTCTAGATGATCTCAGTACTAATCCGTGTTACGAGGATCTACGAGAGTTTTATGCGGATTATAATAATATCTCCTCGATCAACAAATTGGAAGGTTCTAAATTTTTGGATAATTACGCAATTTTGAGTTTACGATACAATAAAATTAAATCAGTAAGTAAAGAAATATATTTAATTTTTTGACAATTTCAAATGCATTAGCATACCTTAAATATAATATGTTTAGTTACCAACATACATATTAAGTCCAAGTGCACACCATAAAAACTTCTTGAGTTCGAGAAATTTGGTCAGATTAGGAGGTAACAAGTTGCATTGTGATTGTAATACTGCTAAACATTTAAAGGTACAGTATACCATTTTATAAAAATGTACAGATAAGTACAAGATATAATATTAAAGAAAATTATTCTACTACTTTTCACTACAGGCATGGTTACAAACGCGGATATTGGACTCCGATGAAGTAATGTGCGAAAATGTAAAGGAAAAAGTTGTAGATCTAGAACCATCGAAGATGTGCGTGTATCCGGGAGACTGGACGGATTATATATATTATATTATCGCTACTGAGGTGATACTATTAATAGGTTTGATTGCCAAAGTGTCCTATGATTACTGGGTGTTCAAAACGGCAGGATATCTTCCATGGCCGGCGAATAAGATGCCAAAATTACCATGCGATTGGTTATTCGAAACATAGACTGTATAAGTACGTATAATGAGAATTTCTAACGTACAATGAAACTGTGCAATAAAAATATACAATTAGGATATGTTAAAAGTGCCTTTGTAGTGCGTTTGGATATTTTATCAAATGTCCAGCACTTTTAGACAATATTTTTATCTAGCTCTTCTAGAATTTCAAAGCAATCTCTGTACATATGTCCATGACAAATATTTTATAAAATTTATATTATTGTTTAAAAAAATGATTGTTAAGGCATGTGTTATACATAATTTTATAAATACAATTATAGGTTTATATATAAATTTTATATGTAAGTATTGATACAATAAATTATTTACAAACAATTTGTAAGTCTTTTTTATGCAGATATCTTTTTAATATAAAATTTCTTAAAAAGAGACCCTATTACGCTTTTTTTCACATTTTAAAAACAAATATATTTACACTTACATTTCGTTTTCCATTTCCTTTTCCTCTGACTTCTTTTCAATGCATGACTTTCGTTTACGTCGTTTATATGTAGGCACTGTTAATATTTTTTCACGCGTGGGCGCTGTACGCTCAAGCTTACGTCGTTCCTTCTTACTGTGCTTCTTCATAGCCAGCATGTAATCGGGTACGTCGCATCCAGAAGCTCGTAGAACCGCCGCAATACTAAGAAACGAACAAATGTTTCATATTATTTATTAAAACATTATACAAATGTGTGTATGAAAGAAGAGTCAATACACACCTTCGTAAATTTGCTGTATCCTGTTGAGTGAAAAATGTTATTGCTTTTCCTTTGTGACCGGCGCGACCGGTACGACCTGTTTCGGAAAACGTAAAACGTTTATGTACGAAATAGCTTGACATATCAGCGCCGTTCTATTTCTATAAATGTACTTTTGAAATATATGAAAATATGGTACAACTATAGTGACAAGATGGTATCTTAACAGATGATAATGTCCATTCTTTATATTCATCATGTTTTATTTATGTTTATTCTATATGAAAGCATGACCTTTTTCTATTGTTAGCAACTACATACAACAATAGCTTATACCGAAAGAGAAGAAAGGCAACTATTTTGAGCTGAGCGTACTTTAACAATAAGAAGAGAGAACGATAAGAATGACTAGAAACAGTTATATATATGTATATATTATAGGAATTGAACTCTATTTTAAATGAGATAACGTCAAAATTTTAGATATTGAGCCTTCTTATAGTAAAAGACTGATATCGGAGATGGTATATATTAAAAAACAGACACACGGCATAAACAAACAAAATGTACACCAATATGATACATTCTCTTTCTTCTTCTTGAATTTATCTATCCTTGTTTTCCTCTTTTTCCTTCTTTGACTTTCTATCCTAACGGCATTATTCCAATTGTCATCACAAAGATCAGCACTCTTTTCTCATAGCTGCAGAGTATCTTATTCAATTTTGATTATCATTTGTATTGTGACACAGAAGAATTTTATTCATGGATATTTTAATTCTTTTTCTACCAATTTTGACAAGGTACATAAATTCATATACTTTTAAAATAATTTTTATGACTCCGTTAAGTTTTATTTTGTATTTTTATTAGGATCTTTTTTACTCTTATGACATCAGTTTTCTATATCTTTTGTATCTTAATTATGCAATTTGGATGAAGATTGTTTGTAATTTTTGTATTATTTAACCGAAGAATGTTTTATATTTATTGTACTTTTTTAATTATATTTAAATTTTACTTTTATACATTGAAAATGACCCGATCGGAGTCGAAACGTCTGGAAATTTTATATGTATATAGTTTGTTTTTTAAATTATACGTACGTTAAACATATTTGGCTCTTTGCCCTTTTTCTTATTTATATTATCTATTTTAAGGATTTACTGATAATACTGATAATATCAATACATACCTATTCTGTGAATGTAAGAGATGGCGGACGGGGGAAAATCATAATTTATAACGAGATTTACGCCTTTAAAATCTATACCTCTGCCCATTAATTCTGTGCAGATCAAAACCCAAATCTTTCCCTCTCTAAAGCAACGCACAGTATTGTCTCGCTAGAGAAATTAATGTACAGTTAGATAAGTTGTGCAAAATAATCTTTTTTTTTTTTACCATACCTGTGTCATTGTTCTATCAGCGTGAATAACGTCCACATTAATTCCGTCATATATAAGCTCGTTAAAAAGTTCTTGAGCTCTCTCTTTGCTTTGTACAAATACCAAGACCGGTGGTGATATACCCTTTATTGACAATTAGAAATGCGTTTACAATTACAATATTCAAGAAAAGTAATAAAATATTGCAAATAAATTGTCCTACCTTCTGAATAATGTTTCTAAACTCCACTAATTTGCCTCTTTCACTACCAACAAAAAGAAGCTTCTGATCTACCAAATCTGCAGCTGCATTTCTGTAATAAGGAAATATAATTATTAATAGAGTGTGTGTGTTTCCAAGGTTATAAAATTTATCAAGCCATACATAAACATGTACCTTTGCCCAACTGTTACTGTTACAAGACCCTTCATGTTACGACGGCACCATTTTGACACTGCTGGAGTATTTGTTGCACTGAACATACCGCGACGTAAATTTGTATTAACGCAAGCCTTTGTAATTTCTTCTAATTGCTCCCTAAAACCACGTATTCCTTCCTCGAAAAGTTTATCGGTTTCATCCACAATCAACCATTCAACACTGCAAAATAGAATAAAAATATTATTGTGCTTAAGTGTGATTTTGATCAATATATGTTATAATGGTAAAAAAACGTACTTATTTAATGAAATAGCTGGAGGATCTTGATTTAAAAGGAATACTAATCGCTTTGGTGTAGTAATTAAAATATCTGGAAAATACATATAAGTTTTAATAAAACCATTTCTATTAAAATTTTCACACTGGCTAACTCACCAAACTTTTGCGAGCTTGAAGGTCCATATTTAGTAAGAGCCTGATTTACTTTACTAATTATGTGAATTCTAAAATCACAGCCATCACTCAATTTTAAGCATTCCCTATAAGTCTGTTTGGCCAACTCCCTTGTAGGATTTAGAATAACAGCACGAAAGCCTTTCTTTTGTGGTCCTCGTAAACTATGAATAATTGGTAACAAAAATGCTGCAGTTTTTCCTGATCCTGTTGGAGCACAAGCCAGTATCTGTCTATCCTGTCATTAAAAAAAATCTTTACTAAAAATATTTTAATTACACAGCATTATATTATACATTATAGAATTATTTACCTCTAGCATAATTGGCATTGCTTGCATTTGTATTGGTGTTGGATACATATACCCACTATTTTTCATATTATTTATCAAACTTTCTGACACTTGGTAGTTTGTTTTTAATTCTTCAAATTCTAATATTAATTTAGGTACATGACTGCCTGTGACTGAAATACGATTCATATTTCTCAGATGATTTATCTGAAAAATTAAAGATATTTTAGATATAACATTTTCTTTACATTTATACTTGGGCTGTTACTTTTGACAACTTGGAAGATTCAAAAGAATCCAAATTTTTAAAGTTAACTTCAAATCTTTGAAATTTAAAGTGTTTGACAGTTTCAAAGCAACAAAAATCGAATTTTCTTGAATTTTTTAACTTGTGACAAGTAACAGCTATACTTTGTAGTTCATTACAAAGTTATCAAACCTTCTCCTGTTCTAGTTTCAACAACTTGTCAGCAGTTGCGACTTTTTTACGTTTCTTAACTGAAACGCCTCCATCTTTTGGTACCGATAGTCCATCCAGCAATGTTATTTCATCAACATCTTCATTCTGATCTTTATATTTTCTTTTTGCTTTGCTTTCTGTAGGCTGTAATATTTCGTCTTTAATTTTTTTAACTGTATTATTTATATCATTTTTACTTGGTTTCACCATCTATAAGAAAATATCAACATGATTGAAATGAGCAAATGAGAAACATCTTTGAAGAAATGATTACCTGAAATCTTTCTGCATCTTTTCGAAAGCGATTTATATCAAATTTAACACCGGCAGCAAGCTTTTTGAAAAGATCGTGAGCATCCATTATATTAATAAATTAATATATAAAAATTATTTGCAAAATCAAGTCACATGGACCACGTGCAGGCTTGCATGCTTACGGAACAATCAGAAATAATAAGCAAGGTTGGGTATGTATTCAAATGATTAGCATCAGTCACGATTAGTGGTATATTTGAGGTTAGAAAATATGTAAGAAGCTAGTGCGAAAATGAGACATCTACTGGAATTGATGAGAAACTATTAGCTAAATCGATTGATAAAAAGGTGAGTCGATAACAAAGAAAGAAAGATATATTTCGTTCTTTAATATGGATTCATTTTTTTATCAATCAATTTAGCTCTGCTATTTTTGAGAATATTTTTTTCGAAAATGAAACCTTGTACAAAACATATTCGATTTATTTTTTATAAAAAACTATTTTCATTTCAATTGTATTTTGTATCCATTTCCTTAAAGGTAATAATAGAGAAGAGATCTTCCGTGGAAGGTCCCATGGTGTAATGGTTAGCACTCTGGACTTTGAATCCAGCGATCCGAGTTCAAATCTCGGTGGGACCTAATAGAGATTTTATATTTTTTTATTACTCTAATAATCAATTTTTTTTATCTTTTGCTTATAAAGCTAAATACACTAGCATCAAAATCTGTAATTTGTATGTGTAGTAATTTCTGTTAAAACATCGTAGTTTTATAATTCTACAATGTGCTTTTTGTTTCCTGTTTTTTGCTGTTTGTCTGTTGGCTTTTGGTCAAAAAGGCAAGAGTGAGCAAGAGACAAACAGTAAGAAACAGGAAACAAGGAGCACATTGTAGAATTACCATACATGTTTACTTCTGTCTCTAACCTAATCTTAACCTAACTTGTAGCTCCTTTTTACTTGCGCGTGCGAATACATAGTTGCTGCTAATACAAAGGCAATATGACGTTTATGTAGACCATGTGCTAAAATATTTTTGCGAATTCAATTGATTGCGAGTTGGAAGAGATGGCCGAGCAAAACGATTCCGTGGTAGTCATTAAAGCGAAGCCTGTTCGCAAAGTTTTCAAGGCTCCCACGAGAGTCAGCAAAATTCCTGAGGAACTCTTGAACGATCCTCTACTGAATTCTGCCATAGCGGCTTTACCCGAGAATTATAATTTTGAGATACACAAGACGATATGGAGAATCAGAGAAGCCAAGGCAAAGAGAGTAGTTCTCCAAATGCCAGAAGGCCTTCTGATATATGCTACAACTATAGCTGATATCATTGAAGACTTTACTGAAGCAGAAACTGTTATTATGGCCGATGTCACCTATGGTATAATTAGATGAGTAAATCCAATGCTTTTAATATTTTTTAATATCATTTTATTATAGGAGCCTGCTGTATAGACGATTATACGACACGAGCATTAGATGCAGACTTTCTGGTCCACTATGGACACTCGTGTCTTATACCTGTAGATCAGACTGCTGGCATTAAAGTACTTTATGTATTTGTTACTATAAAAATTGATATTTCACATTGTGTAGACTGCTTGAAAGTAACTCTATCAGTTACCACAAAGATAGCACTAGTCAGTACAATACAGTTTGCTACGACAGTACAAGCAGTAGCAGCAGAATTGAGAAGAGAAGGATATGAAATATCAGTGCCGCAAAGCAAGCCACTCAGTCCTGGAGAAGTACGATACATTCTTTAATATGGTTAATTATTAATTTGATATGCTAAACAATGACTTTTAAAGATTTTAGGTTGCACTGCACCACAAGTTCGATGTGCTGATGCAGTGATGTACATAGGAGATGGCCGTTTCCATTTAGAGGCTGTTATGATTGCTAATCCTAAGCTGAGAGCGTTTAAGTATGACCCATATGCGAAGAAATTAACTGAAGAGTTTTATGATCATGAAAGAATGTTGAAGACCAGGCATGAGGCGATACAACGTGCTACTGAAACCGACAAATACGCTTTAGTGCTTAGCACTCTAGGCAGGCAGGGTAGTCCTCGTGTATTGAAAACTCTGCAAGATAAAATTGAGGCTTTAGGAAAGGAAAACGTCGTTATATTACTGTCGGAAATATTCCCAGATAAAATCAAGCTGTTCAAAGATGTTGACGCTTTCATACAAGTACGATCTCTTATGAGATAAACATCACTTTTAAAAAATTTACTCATCTCTTTACTAATATTTTTACATTTAATTTATTCTGTATTGTATTTAATTTATGAAAAAAGTAGGATTATATTTAATTTAAAATAAAAAACTATATACATATTTGGAAGAAATATATAATTTCAAAAGAGAGAGAAAGAGAGGGAGCTATGAAAAAGAAAAAATATTTAATCAAGTTAATACGTAGTTTAAGTGTCATGTTAAATTATATCAATATATTTTATTCAAGGTTGCGTGTCCACGATTGAGCATTGACTGGGGTGTTGCATTTGAGAAGCCATTTCTCACACCCTATGAGGGCGCTGTCGCTCTTCGGATGGCAGAGTTTGATAAAGATCGACCGTATCCCATGGATTTCTACGCTACGATCAGCCTTGGACCGTGGACCGCTAATCACAGAGAATCTGAAATGGAAAAAACTGATGCCTGTTGTGGTAAATGTAAAATGGATAAATAAAGGGGTTATAAATATGCAATTCGAATTTGTTATGAAATCGTCAACCTGTTAAATTAAATGAAAATGTCTCTCCCCGTCTTATCACAATTGCTTAGTTAGTTTTTTTTTTAAATAAATTTTTCATTAGACGTTGATATAAATTCGAGCAGGTGTATTTGAAGTCTGTTCATATTAAATCCCCGTCATCCCTAAGTTGTTGCTAGCGGAGCGATAATGGGCAGATAGGAGGGTTCGCGTGGGCGAATTACGTCATACGCCCACCTGTAGCCCGCTCATACATAGACACTGCAATATCGTATATAAAGGGTGTGCAAAATGCGGCACAGCACTTGTTGGTATTCGTTTTTTACCACTTGCTTTTTATTATTAAAAAACAAACGTTAAATTGAACGTATTTAGAATGTATTGATCATTTCAACTTGTTTACAAAACACCTCGATGAGATCATGTGAAAAATTGTATGGAAAAAATATATAGATGTGAAAAGCTAAGCTATTCATTTATACAAATCACGATATTCTCAATCTAAATTATTTTTTTGAATATCGTTATTTGTTATTTTATTTATTGTTAAAGAAAATAGTGTACAAGGATAAAACGATGAATATCGTATGCAGGACAAGATTATTGATGTATAGATAAAGAAAAGAGCACGGAGTACATGATAAAATATCGGGGGTGGAAGGCGGCGCCGGCCGCACCCCGGCGTCGCAACGTCAGTTGACGTTCCAGCGTGGCTCAACAAGTACACGCGGTGCTTAGTCCACGGTTTCAAATTTTGGGAAATCTATGACGTGACTTGTCATACAGTTATTCGATGTTAAAATGTATTAAATTGATGAAATTAACGCGAATTGTGAAAATAAAATTACACAGGTCATTTTTTAACATCATTAATCAACGATCTGACCATCGATATTGATAAGAAGTAAGTCACAGAAAATGTCAAGCATCAATTTTATATCTTCAATTTCGTAATATACTTTTATTCTGATTCTCTTTGCTTACAATTTGGGAACAAACAGAAAGGTATATATAGATATAGAAAAATATATGTCCCTGATAGAAAAAGATTTTATGAAAAAGTACCTCTATTGAAAAAAATCACTTCACAAAGTTATTAACAAAATCGTGTAATGTAGACAAGTAGACCACATAATAGATAAGTGATTTAAAAAAAAACACAATTTGAAAAATCGCATAATATTAGAACTAATTTTATTCATCATGATTTTATTGTCATTGTATTTTAAAAAATTGAATGATAGACATAGAAGAAAAAACATATATTTTTTAAATTACGTGATTTATTTTTATTACGATTTATCTTAATTGCATGATTTCGTTATGTAATTTTGACGTGATTCTTTCTAGTAGAGACACAAAAATCACATAGATTGAGACAAGATATTAAAAATGTTTAATTTTTCATAGATATCTATAGCGAGACGTAGAGTGTGAGATTTGTTTGAGAATAAAGGATTTTTTGATTTATAAAAAGAGAACAATAGCCGCTCTACATCTCACTACGAATATCTACTATGAAACATTAAGACCTTATCTCAATAATCTATATAGTTTTTCGTAAAAATTTTTCCCAGGGGTTGAGGGTGAGAAGAGAGGATATTCTGTTTTAAAATCGTGACTGATAAAATTTAATTATTGCTTCGTTAGAAGAAAGGAATATACTATGCGGTCTAAAGTGACAAACGAGAATACTTGGGCTACAGAATCGAAGCAGAGAAGTAATAAGAGGTTGCGACAAACGAGAAAAACGGAATCTTCGGGGTTGTCAAAGTCTTCCAAGGGAAATACAGCATGGGAAAGAACTCTCAGGAGACTGGAAAGCAATGAACGCGAGCGTATGAGGATGCACTGTATGAATGATGCGTTCCAGGTGCATATAAAGCGCTATTTCTCTCTCTCTCTCTCTCTCTCGCTATACATTATATCTAAAATATAAAATCTAATAAAGTATTAATAAATATTTGTTTCTGATATTTTTTGAAAAATCTCTTTTTAATCATATATAATTATATACGATATACGATGTTTTCATTTTGTAAGATATTTTAACGAATTTGTCTTTATAGTCCTTACGCGAAGTGATCCCGCATGTCTCGAAAGAGAAGCGGCTCTCAAAAATGGAGACATTAACGTTGGCTAAAAATTATATAGTGGCTCTTACGGACGTAATCTGCGCCATGAGAAGTGAGGAGCGATCAGATAATGAGCGAACCAACAACTCTGAACGTCAAGATTCGCCGATCATCGAACAGCAATTGAAATCGACTACTGTTTGCGTAAACGTTCCTGCTGCCTCGGAATCCTACGATTCGGAGACTAAAAATTTTTATCAAAACAAACATTCGCGATGGGAAAAAGATCAAGATAATATTACAGGCCTCTGAAAAGGTACGGCGCTAAAAAATATCGACGAATTGAGATTTCTTCAATGGCATTTTGACTATAGTCTTCCTTTCTTTAATCATACATGTATTTACGCCTTAAAAATTAACTCCAATATCCATATACATTTGGGCAAGTCTTATTAAAATTAATAATGTATCTTATGACTGATATAAACGATCTACGAAAATACTAACTGTTTGTGCCAAAGAAAGATAGTATTCATCGCAGAAACGAATATATATTAGAGAATATTATATTATTGATAGTAATGCTATAGTATTTTATTTCATATTTATAGAGAATATATATATATATTATATTACATTATAGTTTTCGATAATAAATAATGTAGAGAAATAATTATTTAAAGAAATGTTATATATTGATGTATAAATTCGTATATGTGATGAAGAGATTTTAAAAATTACATAAATTCTCATATACTTTTAAAAATAACAAATAAGTTACAAAAAATTATAAAATCTTATTATTTATTTATTGTAAATTACTTTACAAATTTTTTATATATATATATTTTTATCTTTTATTATAAATTTATGTGATATGTTATTAAGGCATATACAATGACAAACGGGCTAATTAATTGTAATAAATAATTATATATTTATTATACATATAAAATATATGTGTTATAATATAAATTCAAATGAATAAATTAAATTATATATTTGAGAAGCTTTGGATCAAAGTTTTATATTAATAATCTTCTATACTTCTTTTGTATAGAAATATAACATTGTGTCATTCAATACTTCATTGCAATATTACATAATAAACAATTATTTTATCCTTTATATCATGCTTGTCCAAAACTTGGACAAAATATTTTATATTATACAAATCACATCAGCCTCTATCACCAAATGAAATAGGCTGTGTCGTCAAATCGTGTAAATTGACTAGTACCGCTGTTTTTGTTTCCGAGAACTTCGGAATGCATATCAATCGTACTGCATGCCCTTCATCAGCTACACATGGTATACATGAATTATTTCATTTTGAACAAAAGTTGATAATTAAATCAGATTTTAAGAAATTCTACCTGTAACTAATTTTGTATCATATTCATCCATATTTCCAGCGAAATATATATCTGGCCATTCGTTGACAACGAATGGATCATTTTTAAAGAACGGATAAATCGAAAGCGTGTCTGGACCGGTTGGAGCATAATGCCTCCACATCAAGGTACGCTTCAGCCATTCCAATGGAGACAGCTGAGATAATCCAGCGATTTTCATAATATCTATGATTGGTCCGCCACAAGAACCGGCTACGACACGACCCCCAATATTAGCGATCCAAGGATTAGTCGCTCCATGCATGCTTTCAAATCTGTATTACACCTAAATTGTATTATGTAAAGAAAGTTTGACGTGAAGCTTAAATGTGTAGCTGTTACCTGGTCGATTTCTGTAAAGTACATGGATGAAAAGGCTGCTGAGGCATGCTATAATTGCAAGTAGGATCAAACTCTCCTGGCATCAAGACAACGCAACAGCAATTGAGAATATTGCTGAGAAAAGCGTCAAGCTTGTGCATTGCTATTATATCTTCTTTGATCTTAAGCTGATCATGCGATTTGATCTCATGATAGCCTTTGTGGCTATATATTTTCGTAGAGCTACGAATGGAGTTTCCTATACAATTATTTATACATGAATTACTATCGCTAGGCAGAAATTATCTTCGATTCGGTATTCGTACCAGCGATAATGACTTGAGCAACTGCTGCTTCTTCTTTTTGGGCATTGGCACATCCCGCCATTCCGGTTATCCATTCCGAAAGTAAATCTAAGCTAAACTCATCCGTGTTATTAACTAGATCTAATCCAGATACTAGCAGAATTTTTCCATCCTCCACCAATGACCTGCTTACACTGGAAGAAGGCTTCAGGTAGTATCCTGGAAAACACCAATCCTCTACCTAAGAGCAAAATTCAATATGAGCAAGTTCATAACAAGTTCATAACAATCCTGTCTATAGTCATAATTATGTAAGTATATACCCAAAATGTCCCATTTTCTAATTCATGTCCAAGTACCGCACAAACAAGCCCCGTGACTACTTCCTGTATATCCATGTGATTTCCTACTAATCTTACACGTAACGTTTCATCCTCCAAAAACAATTGGTCGTCAACTGATGCGTAATTATTACTACTCGGCTGAGCTTCCAGTTGAAGCTCCTTACTGAGGTCACGTAGAAGAGAAGGTTTCAGCCTCTGATCCTTATAAAGTACTCCTATTAGAATATAAGACTTTCCTAGGCTTTCCAGAGTCAGGTGTGAAATTTCTACATGTGGATAGTCGGCTACAACATACATAAACTGTAAATAATGTAAATAGAAAGATTCTGAGTGCATAAATATAACTTACTCCATTTCAGTTTCGCTCTACATAATGTGTCTTCCCGCAAATCATTCAGCCTAGCTGTATATATATTAAGAGAATCATCGTTATATCTTTTCTCTGTTAATTTAAATCTACCGAGATCTTTGAAGGAGACAATTTTACGATCATATTCGCTGGAATCGTCGATCTCCATTCCAGATTCAACTCGTTTCTGAAAATTTTCAAAGTCACGTTTTCGTATAATAAAACAGACAACGTATTAGAGACAATTATAAAAAAAAAAAAAAGAATGTTTAAAGAAGCATACTAATGCCTTTCATTGTTTTCCACATGTGAAGAAGCACTCGCATTTTAAAAGAAACATATGATCACGCTGTCATTGTGCGCCTTCGAAGTGTAGAAAGGTCAGACATATCACCTAACTAATCCATTAATAAGCAGAGATCCTCATTTATCCTCAAGAAAAAGGAAGAATAGTTCGTATCTTCTCTCATATGACATACGAAATTTTAATTTACAAAAACAGGTGAAAATTGTTTTCAGAATTTTTATATGAAAATCTCGAAACAGTTTTTAAAAATATCGGAAAAGTCTATATATAATTTTTCTTAGAATTTTTTATGTATATGAATTATGAGATATTCTATAATATTTCTAAGATTTCTTATTCTATAATTTTTGAAAAAGTATTTATAATTTTGTCAAATTTATAAAATTTTATGTAATTATAAAATGTAAAATTTCAGAATTTATATATAAGAAGAGTTGTAAAAAAGATACAAAACTTGCTCGACATTTCTGAGTTTTTCAATTTGTATAAAAAATTTAAAATTTTCTAAAGAATTATAATAAAACAAATTTTCTAAAAAAGTTGCAATATTATTTGGAAATTCTGAAAATTTTTTTTAAATATATAAATAATTTTGGAAGAAATTTTCATAATGAATATTTAATTAATACTAATAAATTTCTCTTGTTGCAATATAGGTGTACAAGCTAGAAAAAGCATCTGGCAAAATTGGTTGCGCTTCTAGCACCCTGACAGTGACCGTCATTGAAGTTGCATCTACACTCTGCAGTTCTCGGTGTACTCGTTCCTGCACCATCTGGTTCGTGTCAGGTGAAGGTGGTACAGCGACGAGGCGGTCTTGGTCTTTTGCGGTGGACTCGACGTGGCGAAAAACGTCTTCTGTTTTCACTCATCTCTTCCCCATTGTTAGGAAATGATACCAAATTGCCTCAGGAACGTCGCCGTGCAATCGTCGAGACGAAATGTAAGTGCACCGAAGCATGACCTCTAAACACGCCGCGTCGTGCTTTCCGTGTCAGGGTCTCATTACGAATCCCAGACACTCTTACTTGCGACACCGTATCTCATGAGTCTTCTTCTTTCCTCAATATCTCGCATATTCGCCAGTTTGGGAGCTGGAACGAGGTAATTATCACTCGCGATTCGGTTGTGCGCTGCGGTTCGCTGCCGCCTTATGTTTGCTTTGAATTTGTATTTGATATATGTTAACACAAAAATTCAGAACTTTGAGTTTTCTGGAGAACACAATCCACTGACTCACAAGATTATGTAAATTTCACGCTGTCGCACGTGCTACAGTTACGTACTCACAATATGTTTTTACGTCGTCACACAGATACTGATTAGATACTGATGTTTCTAGGTGGCTTCGTTTTTCTCAAGCAAGAAAAATAATTATGCAACTGAAGCCTCCTTCGAAACCAAACCGTTTCGTTTGCACAAATTAGACCATGGCCCATCTACTCAGGTTACAGTGACTCGGGATGATGCTATTGAACTATTTAAGCAGCTACATACGATACGTCGTATGGAAACGGCTGCTGGTAACTTGTACAAAGAGAAGATCATTCGGGGTTTCTGTCACTTGTATTCTGGACAAGTAAAGACCACTTTCATCTTTTCGAAATATTTATTTGATTCGGAAACACTTTTATTTTTGTTGCTTTTTCTTTGCAGGAAGCTTGTGCAGTTGGCATGAAAGCTGCGATGAGACCCCAGGATGCTGTAATCACAGCTTATCGCGCACATGGATGGACTTATTTAATGGGCATCGATGTATTTGGTGTTTTTGCGGAACTTACAGGTAGACAAGGTGGCAATGCCAAAGGCAAGGGTGGCTCCATGCACATGTACTCTAAGAACTTTTATGGAGGAAACGGCATTGTGGGCGCTCAGGTTTGCATTAATCTTAAAATTCAATTTAACATCGTTGAGATTACAATTTTTAAAAACTGGATTATTTTAACATTGTCACAATTGTAATTAGGTGCCACTGGGAGTTGGAATCGCTTATGCACAAAAATACTTGAATAATGGTGGAGTCTGTTTAACGCTGTATGGCGACGGCGCAGCCAATCAGGGTCAGGTGTTTGAAGCATATAATATGGCAAAATTGTGGGATGTACCCTGCATCTTCGTTTGCGAAAACAATGGATACGGAATGGGTACCAGTGTGGATCGAGCTGCGGCAAGCACGGAGTATTATACCAGAGGCGACTATGTTCCCGGAATATGGGTACGTTAATCCATTTTAAAGGATTCGTATTTTATTAAAGTAGATTTACACATAATGAAAATTGTATTATAGGTGGATGGAATGGATGTGTTAGCCGTAAGAGAAGCCACGAAATTTGCGATCGATCATTGCACGTCGGGTAAGGGACCCATTGTCATGGAAACTGTGACATATAGGTATAGCGGACACAGTATGTCGGATCCTGGAACCAGCTATCGTACGCGAGAAGAGGTACAGGAGGTTCGACAGACCCGGGATCCTCTCACCAGCTTTAAAGAGAGAATTTTAAATTCTAATCTGGCTACTGCGGACGAAATCAAAGTCAGTCGATGTCTCTTTTGTTAGATTTCGCAATTAATGTTACCTATTAGTAATTTATCTCATCTGATGATGATCTATGTAGATAAGCGATCTTTTTTTGTCTCAGGCAATAGAAGGTGAGATTAGGAAATCGGTGGACGACGCCATGAAAGCTGCCAAGAACGATAAGGAGATTCCACTCAACGAGCTCACTGCCGACATTTATACGGAATGTTTAGAGAAGGAAATTCGGAACACGTCACCTTTCGATCCTCTATCGCACACCAGACTAGGGCCAGCTGTAAATGCTTGAAACTGCTCAAAGATTATTTTCTAATTACTGCAGTCTCGTGCCACGTCCTCAATGTTTATAGACTTATAAACTAGTTGTATAGAAGCGTACATGCACACGTTTTTTTTAAATTTGAGGCTGTATATTGTTTCGTCAAACAAGAACTGATATATTGTCGAAACAGATTCGAGTGCAATTATTGCGTACCGATATCTTGATATGCTCCAATACGCACGCGTAACATTGTATATTGCAGTCCAACACGACTGACGTGTGAAAAAGAAGATCCATATTTTCGATAATTTGGTGAATTAAATTTATAATCTCACATTTATTTCCAATGTGAAAATTATCACGAAAGGATCTTTTACAATACAACGTGCGCCTAAGATCTGAGCCATTTGTTATAATGTGTTAAAATAAAAATCTAAAAAAATAAAAATTTGTTATAAAAATAAGAAATGATTCGTTTTTTTTTTAAAAAATAAGGGTAAATTTTGAATGACAGAATTTGATGCAAATATTGAAATACTCCCATTTTTTTCTGAGTGCTATCCAGATATTTTATCTTTTTTGTGTTTACCGAATATAAACGAGGATAACATACCTGAGGATTACTCTGATGGAAATTTGATTTTATACACTTCTTGGGAGATGTTCGTTTCTACCAATGTAGTTATATCACTGATTTCCATACTGTGTTATATACAACACTATCTGTGATTTAGATAGTATAGAGAAACCTGTAAGTTATATTTTAATTTTGATTTATCTAACTTTTCATATCTTTTTTAGTCATAAAAATTATAAAAAATAGGTAAAGAGTAAGTTGAATCGAGATTAAAATTATCTATATTAGCAGAAACAGATAGGTAGAAGAGATTTAAAAAAGTTGTATGCTGGGTAAGATATTTTTGAATGGCGATTAGTCGAATCTCGAGAGGTATCGAGAGATCGAGAAAGAAAGAAGCATCGAATGTGTCGATCAGTCGATATCGAACGTCGGCCATATCTCTGTGGTGGCGAGCGAGCAGGTACAGGTGCACGGTTAACCAACGCTACGCGGACGATCTTTGTTGAAGGTCAGTTTATTCTGCGAAAAAAAATGTCTCGAATCGTTGCAGTGAAGGAATATCTCGAGAAAACGTTGAAGGATGATAGTAAGCCGTGGACAAAGATGTTCGCCCAGGCGGAGGAGAAGACCGGCATCGATCGGCTGTACATTTTTGTCGGTGAGTCGCCCGGTGGTACAATTATGCAGATTTCCAGTCATTCCTATTGATTGCCCGGCTCGACCAAGCTCGGATAATTATTCAGCCTCATGTTAATGCGATTTCGCGGTTTCTTAGAACTCGTTATCACGCACTCGTTACGCAATAACTAGTTACACGGTCTCATCGTTTTCATGTTACGCTGTTTTTCCTTTGATAAATATATTTCGAAATTACTGTCGAAAATCTGCAACCTGTTGATCTTTGCCCGGGTCATCGTACACTTGGGTGACGATATCGCTTTCAGATACTCCGTTATTTTCTGCTTGTTTGCATCGACATTTTTGCAAACAGCAGTATGTTGAATTTAAAATAGAGATACTTTAGATTAAGTTATTCTTATTACTTTTATTATTTATTTATTTATCGGTAGGATCATTGATGTTGCTGGCTATATACTTGGTATTTGGATTAGGACAACAGCTAGTATGTAATATAGTTGGTTTTGTTTATCCTGCATATCAATCTATGAAAGCATTGGAAAGTTCTAAGAAAGAGGATGACACAAAATGGCTTACTTATTGGGTGGTTTTTGCTGTATTTACTATAATAGAATTCTTTTCTGAATATATTGTTTGCTGGTTTCCAGTCTATTGGCTGTTTAAGGTACAATCCTAAAAGTACTTACCTTAAAGACAAATCCTGCCAAGGACAAATATATTATTAATTATGAACTTGTACACAGTGTGTATTCTATATATGGTTGATGGCGCCAATTGCCGAGTATAATGGCTCCTTGATTCTATATCGTCGTATCATCCGTCCAAAGTTCATTCAATATCAACCTGGATTGGACAGATTTTTGTCTAATGCACGTGACACAGGTAAGGTCATTTTTTTAAATAAAAAATAATTTAGCTTCCTTAAAAATATGGATATCAATGAAAATTTATTTGCAACATAAATATAAATCAAAACATGAATATAAGAATTTATTATTCTTGTAGCAGTTAAGACTGCGACAGACGCATTGCTGACCAACAAGCAAGAATAATGAAGCTGTAAATCAAACAAATAGAAAGTCCATTTGTGTCTTTCCCTTTTTACTCATTCCCAGCGGAGAGAGCGTGAATTTTGTGCTTTACCGAATATTACCGAGCGTTGTTACATTAACGACTACAAAGATGAAGAAAATGCCAAACAAATAGAAATTTTTGATTATTCTAGATATTATAAGCAACTTGCAAATAGATCAGAGAAAACCAAAGTTATCCAAAATTGTGAATAGATAGCGAATACGAATGATGCACGAACGAAAAAAGCCTCCCTCTGAAAATAAATCATTTATAGTACAATAGTTTGTCTTTAAAATTACAAAATGATTAAAAAAAATTTCTTCACGGAGAAATAAGCGTTTTATTTTCAGATAAGCTCGGCTCATTGTTTGTAGAGATTCCGAGCCAGCTGAAAACAAAACTTGGAATGTTTTTGTATGATAGAATAGACTGCGCGTGTTTTTGCCATTTCTGTAATCATTGATAATGTACTTGTGTTAATTAAAGTAAAATACTTTAATTTTAGAGGAGAATTTCACCAACATTAAAGTCATTCATTATTAATGCCGGTTTCGAACGGTAATTTGAGATATTTTTTTTATGAGTCGCCAGATCGCTAAAGCTACATGCGCGAAAAAAATTTCTAGAATCTGCCGAGGCTCGAACCCAAGTTCATTAGCATGGTAGACAGCACACGAGTCTACCATGCTTATATGAAACATTAAATTCTTCTGATTTCATTGTCTTTATTTCAAAATAGCTATTTCTTCAACTAACGTTACATATTGTTAATATTTCGATCCTAAAATATTTACAATATTAAAACGTCTGAAATAGTTAAAATACGATGTTGGTGAAATCGGCTTTTACTAGGTACGTTTTAATAGATAAGTCATTTATTAAGCAATGTTGATAAGAAGCTGGTAAGATTGATTCAAATATATAAAAATAGCAAAAACTCGAGATAATCGAAAACAATATATATATATATATTCAGATACGTAAATATACGTCGATAAATCAATTTAATTAAAAATTTAAATTTTTTATGACAAGTATGTTGCCATTCAATTGTTATATCATGATATATAAGGCGAGACTTCTGAAACAAATCAGGTATTATGCCTTCTAGTTAGTTCATGAGTCGTCAATGAAACGACACGCACAATTAGCTTAAAATTTGTACATTATATATGTGAGATTGTATCGTAACTTGCATGCGATTGTCTTCTTATGTTTATAATATATTTTACCAACATCCTCTTTAAGTAGCTTCAATTTTGAAGTACAGAGTTAAGCTTAGGAGATGTGTATATTGCTCAAATTAAGCCACAATCTTGTACAACTTAATAATTTGTCCGATCAATTCAGTGCTCCATTTGTGGATTCTATAAAAAGCTAATTTTTCTATATCTTTTTTTCGTCACTTTTAAAGCTCTTCATACACATATGAATGTTACTAATTGTTGCTGAGAGGTGAATATTACGGGTTTTAAACAAAATTGTAAATTTAGAGATATTGACAAAAAATTATATAAGTCACTATACACGCACCGCAATAAATATGTTTTTATTTTATACACTTCCTTTTCTTCCACCCTTTTTCTATCTTTCACTAATAACTGACGTCATTTACGGAAATCAATTTCCTGTAATGCGTTCCTGTGGACAGTTCAATAATTATATTATAGCATTAATTAAATGATAAAAGCAAAATAAAATTTAACTTTGAAGAGCACAAATGTGTGTGTATGCATATATATATATATATATATATATATATATATATATAAGCGCACAATATTAAGTAAATAAATTACGACGAAATGAATACGCATTTCAGAAAAATTGTGCAAATATAAATTAAAAGTTATTTGCCAATATTATAAATAAGAGTATAAATTGATCAATTTGTGCTCTTTAGAATTTAAATTCATGAAAAATGCAAGAGAATTACATTTCTTTGAAGTGGAATTTCTCCGCTGTCAATGCGAGCTTTCTTATGTGACGAATAGTGGATGCAGCTGCAATCTGTACCTCTGGATCGTCCGAGCCCACCAAGCGCAATACGTACTGTTTAAAAATTTTCATCGATAGTTTTAAATATATATTCCATGAAAGTTTTCTCCGCAAATTGTCGTTTCGATATATTGATGAGGAGATAATTAATCAAATTAAGTTAAAAAGTAATTTTAAATATATATCTGAAACTTTTATTTGTTATATACTAAACATTCTATTTACGAAAATATTCATAGACTATTAGCATTTATATTGTTGGTGGTTATAAATTAATTATATGTTTATTAGTGTTTGTGAAAAAATATTTATTTTCGAATAAAATAAAATTTTTAGTTTCAAGATTTGATTTCATAAAGTTATGAAACAATTCTTCTTTAGCATCGAGCAATTATCACGTATATGCAAATTCCTATGGTCTAATTATACCTTAATAACGCCGCAAGTGTGCATGGTCACGCAATTTAAGGGCTCCTTGCTCAAATGGTACACAGCAATGCAAACACCCTTCAACACGTTCTTGTTCTTGCTGGTCATGTAATTAACCAATGGCGCAACAGCATTTAGTTTGCCAAATTCGTAACTGTTTCGGTCCCAGTCGCAGCAATAGGCTATCGCCAGTGTCAGATTAGCGCGCAAGTTCTCATCGTTCTTTAAAAAAAATAGTCGTTTTATTATGCAGATATTTTAATTAAAAATATTTAATCACAAAGTAAAATATTTAAATGCGACTGCTTTATGGAAAAACGGAGTAACTTTTTTTAAAAATCATAATTAAATAATTAATCTGATAGAAAAGAAATGAGGAATTATATATGAGGAACACACTGGTATGTGCGCATTATGTTTTAATTTCATATACCACAAAAGTTTTGATTAAAAAAATTAAAGATTTTTTAAATAAAACCTTTATTTGTCTATTGATCTATTTTGTAATGCTTAAAAATAATAAAAACTTATTCTCGCAATTATATTAATTATTATCTTTTTGCCACGAAGTAGTCGCGCAAATTCTAAACAGAAACCATCATCATAAGCAGCGTTGAACCAACCGTTTCCACGAGGGCGGCCAGTTTTTTCACGACGCCGTGATCCGTCAGGATGCCCAAGTTCTCAGGATCAGTGGCAATTTCCGCGATCATGGCGCAGACCGCGCTGAGCACTTCCGTATCTTTACTCTCTAGGAGACTGACGGTGAGCTCCAAGCCGCCCACGAAGGCACGCACCATCTCAGGAGAATCCTTGGCATAGCGGATGCAAGGTACCAGAGCGAGGCAAGCATTACGCTTGATCACATCACTGGGATGCTTCAGCAGGGACCAGACTAATCGCACACCGTCCAACCGATGCTCCGGATCGTTGATAATGTCCATGCATTTCTCATTGACGGCACACTCTTTCAGCACCAGTGGCACGTTCTCTAATAATGGCTCATACGTGGCGCTCAATAGTCTAATCTGCAAAGGTCCCTGAAGCACTCATTCTGCGGTATCGCAAATACTGGAGTAACGAGGAAACATCGATCGTCATGGGAATGGTGTAGTGCACGTTAACTCGATTAATCATCGAGAATGGTACTCGCAAACCTTCCGATGCACAATCCAATTTTCGGTTCATTTGAAAATTATCTCTCATATAAACTCCAACGGGATAATTAAACTTAAATGGGTCAATGCAGCGATATTCCAATAAAATTGATAATTGATAATCATTATAAATTGTATAATATATACGATGAGAATTCATCTAGTAATTGCTCGAGGATCATTAAAAGAACCACGACTATCGATTTTATTACATCGATCTGAATATTTGTTCTGAATGTGGGAAGGATCTCTCTCTCTCTCTCTCCACCATCTACATAATATATTAATTTTTTTAAATATTTCTTCCATTTTGATACAATATTCTAGTTATATGTAGAACACGTGGCGAGATAAATAATTAATCCAAATATATATCTTACACATAAAAATTATCTTGTTCGGAAAAGAAAAAATATTCTATTCTCCGTGGTGTTACATCATCTTTGAGGTCATCAATATGTATGAATATTCCTTCCTATATAATCCTAATGTACAAACAAGAGCTCGACATGCAGATATAGGCAAAGTTTGGTCCAGAGAGAGAGAGAGAGAGAGAGAACGAGAGAGAAGAAAAGCACAGATAGAAGTGTACTCCTGACTTTGAACGGTCTTTACCAGTTTCGGTAGACCCTCGTTAATCCTCAAGACGTCCCTGTTAGTAGGATCCTTACAGCACTCGGCAAGGGCGCCTACGACATTGGCTAACACCCTTTCATCCTCATTTTCCTCGAGCAGAGGTACTAGCGACGCTACCAGACCGTTCTGATTGAACCTCATTATGTTCTCGGGACTGATGGCACACTTCCAGACGCCGCCGGTGACCGCGGCTAGCAGACGCTTGTTGGCGTGCACCTCCTCGTTCTGCACAAGTTTGCAAAGTGGGTCCAGACCACCAGCTCGACGTACCATCATTCGAGTTTCCCGATTCGAAGCGCATTTGAAGATGGCTAAAGCAGAGTTCTCCTTCAGCTTCACGTTATCATTCTTCAAATGTCGCACCAAGTCGTCGATGATGCCCACTCGTTCAAATGCCTCTCTGAAAACATTCTACAGATACACCAATAGATATTGGCACAAGCTACAAGGAAATTATATTTATAATGAAATTTTAGAAATAGAGTTCAATTAATTACGATTTTAATAAATGCGACAGTAGAGTTCAAATAATAATGATAATCCGGGACATTGATGCCTGGTATTTAAATTTCATGGTATTTAACTTGTTTTCGATTATTAATATAATGATAATTGTGTTTTCTCCACGAATCATTTTCATAATTTTAACATATATATTTTGTTCAAATTGATTTAAATTATTTTAATGAACACTATTAATAGATAAAGAATAAAATTCAGTAAACCAGATCAGCACACTGCTGCACGACGCCCATCGTGGATACGATTAGCTGAGTGTGTTTCGATTTTAGAAAACGCGACATCAAACGAACAACACCATGTTTACGAAGTTCCTCCTTGACCTTCGGACTGCTGCCCAAAGAATCTAAAACCTTGGCACAACCTATGGCGACGGCCACGAGTTCTTTGCTGGCCTCGCTTAATTCATCGTATGACCGACGAAGAACTTCGTCTGGTACATCCATTACATCCAGCTGTCAAACAAAAAGAGTCAATAGATAGTTAGCTCATATGAAAAATAATATTTTATTCATAATACACACACGAGTCATTCGTCATTTTTCTGCACATTTCTGGTTTTTTTTTTTTTTTATACCAGAAGTATCTGGCTAAATAAATAGTCTTTATCTTGTCATCTTTTTTTTTTTAAACACACAACTTTACAAATATAATGTTTTCTAAAGATGTTTTAAAGTATATATAAACTTCTGTTATATAATTTTTGTATATTTATAAAAGTGATGAAAATTAATTCAGAATACGAATATCATGTATAATAAAAGATCGGAATATCACCGTTAATAAAAATGTACTAAAGATTGAATATCGTATATATAGCAATTTTGGAATAAGAAAACTTATTTGTCTTATTCGAATACTGATGACTGGATAACTTACGATGAGCGGTATTCCACCGCGAATTCTGATTTGTTTTCTGGCCTTTCGGACTAGAGCTATAATGGCCATAGTTTCGGCTGCCAAAATCTACGAGGATTACAAATTAACATTACATAACGCGACAAAACCAAATGTATAATAATATAATAACTGCATAAAAATTAGATTCAAGATTTTTCAGAATTTAGTATTTTTAACTTGACGAACATTTTGCTGATTGACAAATGAATCGGATTCTGAGTTAAATATAAAAACAGTTATAGGACGATTAATTAATTGAAGGAGTTATATGACAAAGGTGAACGACCTGGATATCTCTGGCGGGATGCTTCAACATTTGAATTAATGGCGTCGCAATGTCCAAGTCAATTAAATATCGCTTCATCTCCATGGAAGTCGCGATTTGCAGTAAAACCGACAACGAGCCATTCTGACACTTGATGTCGTTCGTTTCGAGGAGATTCACTAAAACTTCGAGACCTCCCATTTCTTGGATAGCCTTCTGTATGATCTGCACTATCACGAATTTATTATAGAGAATGCTCGATTATGTAGATACAAGAGAGACAGATTATTTTTTATATTAAAGAATTTTTTAAAAATTGATGTAAATAGAGATAATGAAGCAAATTACTAGAATTATTGATTTTGTTATATAACATAGTTGGATAACATTTTTTCTTGCAACCTAATTTAATCTCGCAATAAAAATATAACGGACCTTGTCAGTGAGATCGTAATCCTTTAATAAACACAAGGACACCATGGTGGCAGTCTGATTGCCGGCCTTCATGTACTTGATAAGTTTCTGTATGTGCCAGAATTCGGAAGGCACTTCCGGATGATCTTCCTGATATCTAGCCTCTTCCTCATTCTCGGACTCTGGCTCGTCGTCCGAGCTTTCCTCCTCGGCTTTTTCGCTGACAAGACGAATTCGAGGTCCATAGGGTTCGCCGGTGAGCAAGGACACCTGTTTCGGAGGCTCCGGCTCGGTGGTCTCCACGATTTCCGGTTCTGGTCTACATAAACGGACCTAATATCGCTTAATCCTACATTTCTTATTTATAATTTTGAAAAGATATTCCGAATCCCATTCCAGTTTTCCGAGAAAGGAACATGAAAGATTCGAAATATATATAATCGATAAAAATTATTATAAAATTCGTCAGAAATTATTACGTTGTATATATGGTACATAATTAATAATTACAGAATATAAAATCAACAATAACGGAAACGTAACTACAGATTTTTGGGATGATTCGTCTCCACACGTGATTTCGTGTCCGTTTGCTTACTCAGTACGTTCCAATTCCTGCACAGCTTCTTTTGCCGGCACAACGTCTTTCTTCTTTTTTGGGGGCATCTTTTACAGCGAGCATTAAATTCACGATAAATTCTCTCTCGCAAGATCCCGAGAATATCGAAGGAGGAAAGTCTTTTTCTTACTCTCGTCTTTAACTCGAAACTTTGTCTATCCTCAAAAGCTACTACAGCGAACTATCGATCAAACAATCACAGCCAATTTCACTGTCTTGTCAAAAATAAGGAAATTTTAAATGCTTGTCAAAAAAAAAAACAGAAACGAAATGTCAATTAATTGCTTTTGCAAAATTTTATTGTCTATAAAGTAAATTTTAAACGTTAGTTTCCATTTGGATATCTATAAAATTTTCAGTTAAAGGTATGCTGTTCTATATTATACTTTTGGAACGTAAAATAAAATGAGTGTTTTTTTTTATACTCGACGAAAAAGATACTTCTATAATGCAGTTTAAAAAGCAAGAATAAAAGATAGATTTATTCTAAAAGGTCATCGTGAAAGAGCTCGTAATTAACGTGTGCCGCGCGTGAAAATATCACCTGAATTATCGACAATATGCCCCGACAGGGAGATTTGTAAAAGTAATAAATATTCTTTTCACGGGGAGTTTTTCTAACAGAATCGATCAGGAAGCCGATTCGTATTGCCGGGAAGAAGATATTGCAGATACGGGATGGATACGAGCGAAATCTCGTTGAACAAATTCGAGCTTGGTGAAAGCGACACGGCGATCTTTGCGAAAATATGCATCGCCCGGAGGAGTTAGAGGAAAAAGATATAGAGAAGGGCTGCCGTGACAACATGAACAAATGTTCGTCGTGCATATATATGCTTCTCCGTTTGCTCTTGTTCTATTCCTGCTCTCGCTATGCGCCTGGCTCTGCGTTTGCCGATGGGGATTCGGCTACAATCTAAAAGACCGAGAAGTAATTCAAGCACGAGCTGCATTCAAGGAACGCACCAAGCTGAGAGAAAATGACTTTATTTCGATGATTTTTGGTTAAAAAGTCTCACTGCTTATTAACGTTAAGAATTAAAATAACGTTATTCTCAATCCTTATTTTGTGCGTTCCTTGAACGACTTTCTGCCAGAGATATCTGTTCTATTTATGTTTTTTCATTCATGATCTCTCCGCACTTATATAATGTTCCTCGTGTTTACTTTGCAGATCGCCTATTGCCTAGTGGCCTATTTTATCATTATCACATTCCTGAACGTTGTATTCCTGGGACATATACGATTGTTCTACGATTATCCGCCGGAAGTGGTCGGTAATTAATCGGGTTATCGATAGAGTGATAATAGGCGACGTCATCTTCTTGACGGCCGCTAGATGGCGCTACTCATACAGTTTCTGTGGCGACCGCCACCAGAGGTCCAACGGGACTCGCGCCAATTCTCATAGAGCCTCGATCTAAGACTCCCCCAGATGGCGCTACCATCGAGTGCTGCAAGCGGGTTGGAAATCGCATCGCTGCGCGAGCGGGGCTTGATTGATCGCGTCTAACCTAACTTAAAAGTGGAACTGCTACGGTAAATATTTGTCAATAATCCTTAAACTCGTAGATTTAACGAGATAAGTTTTGAGTTTTGTCGAGCGTTTTATTAATTTTAATACGTTTTTAAGAGCATTTGTTATGTACTTGCATTTATTATGTCATAGTATGTTTTTTACGAAAAGATGCGAGCACGACGTATTCTCTAACTTTAATCTTCAAATGAATACCACCCCTTTAGGTGAAGTGGTACAGCACTTGATATTTAAAACCTTGTTCTAGAAAAGGAAAATGAAAAGTATTGTCCAGATGCCCAGAAATTTTAAGTTCAATACTCTTTATTCTGTCTTATAACAGTGTAACTAATATGTAAATGTTATTATATAACATAATAGTAAAAAATAAACTATAAAATTAAAGATTTTTTTTTTATGTTCTGAGCACTTACCAATTTGCTTGTCTTTAAGCCACCTAGCTACTTAAAGATCAAGTAAAACGTTCATGGAGGAAAAATATGGAAATGTAATTGCTTTTTACGTTATTTTCTAGATGGGTCTTTCACGGCACATGCAATTCATCAGCCGTACGATCTTCGTTCAGAACAACGACGTGGACAAGGCATGCCGCTTATTAAATCGCATATTGTCCAAAGAAGACATCTTCGGTCAGTATAGGCGAACGAGGTATTATGAGAAACCGACTCAAGTCAGACGCAGGATCAACTATGAGAGGTGCAAGTCAATCTACAACGAGGATATGGACAGAAAGATTAAATTTCTTCTACGCAAGAACAGAGTAGATCCTTATCCCGGTGCATCGTAAGGTGCGGCATAAGATTATCGTCTCAGATTGTATAATTGTGATAAATTTGTCTATCGATACCATATGATTTATTTATGAATAAATATTATCGAAAATATAGAAAATATCCTAATGTAATAATACCGATTATTTCATCTTCCAATTATTTTTACTTTATTCCCCGTGTATCCGATACAAATCGATTGAGGATACTTCCGTAGCTGAAATTGATAACTTCATTTATTCGTATTGAATGTCCTGACACATAAGATATTAACTTCTATTACATTTAACACGGACGGATCAGAAAGTATTCTTATACACAGACAAAAATTGACGAGTACATACTGAGACACAAAAATACAATCTGCAATCGGAGAAAATGGATCAATAGGAAATGTGCTTTAAACGTTAATGCGGCGCTAAGAAGTAAAATGAAAAATCATCCGGACAGAAACGCGTTTTCTCGCTATCTCACGCCATAAGTAACTCCGAGAAGTCGGTTTGCGCGAGGAACGCGCATTTCTCTCTTTCCCTCTCGCGCGTTCTTTTTTTTTTTCCTCCCTTTTCAACCCCTCTTTCCGTAAGCGACTTCCATCATCTTTCTTTCGCGAGAGGCGAGAAAAGACAAAACGTCCGGTTGGTTGGTCGGCTTTCCTGGCAACGACTCCGCCAACTTGGCGAAAATTGAATAGATAGTGGCGCCCGGACTATGCCAAGTTTTCCAGCGGGGTTTGTCGGTGGACAGGAGGGTAATTCAACCCCTCCTGTGGAAAGAGCGAAAAAGGACGAGAGAGGGAGAAACAGAGAGAACGGCGGTTGCTTCTGTATCCTTCACTTGGCGATAACGCCGTATTAGAGTAGGATAAGTACTTTCGCTCCTTCTCGCGAGTCAATTTTCAAAATCGTTCCCACAGCGAGGAACGTTTGGTAAAATGTCCTACTGGAATATTAGCGTGAAACTGGGAAACGGGATCTGGTATATTCGTTTATGTTCAGTGTCACTGCACGTCCTGGCTCGTCCTCGGATGTATTAGAATTCGATTTTCGAATAATTCTCGTTAAATTGGCGCTGATATTGAATTCCACAAACTTCTCCATTTCGATGATGATTGCTGCTATAAGCTTCATTTGAAATTCTTCGATTTTGTGTTTTTCTCATTGTTTTTCAAATTATTAAGAAGGATATATACAATAATTAACTCTATTCTATTTTCTTATTCTAAACAATTCTACATGAATCAATATCTAGTTTTCAAGGTGGAAAATAATAAAAAACGAACTGAACCGGAGTCAATTTTGTCAGTTCAGCAATATAAATACAGTCTAAAAGTTCTTTAATTAGTAAGATCGTGTTCATTTCAAATAAGAGGGTATCACTTAAATGAGAGATTCACCTCCAAGGTTCCGAAAAAAATTGCAGTCTGCAATCGTGTAAGGATACCTAGCTCATAAAAGATGCAAATATTTCGCATAACGAATAAACTGTCCCCGAAAGGGTTAAATGGATTAAACGGCGATAAATTCCAAGAAGTCGTCGGAGAGAGAGAGGAGACCGGTGGGACGCAGGAAGCTTCTCAAAGTGCTCGTCAAGTCGTATAATCCGCGATTTATTTGACCCCGGCCGTCATAAATCCGGGGCCTCGGTGCGTTATTCTCGTAACTAGGAGGTAGCAAACGGATCTCATTTCAGCCATCGGGACCGCGCACTGTCGCGCTATCAAAGAGGGAAAGAGAAGATCAGGAAACGGGAAGGGAGCCGACCCTCGCGCGTCGTCTCGCTTGAGAAGGCGGTTTGGCTTAACTCCCGGGAATCTGGATCCGAAACTATCCGACGAACTACTCGCAAGACAGTTTGCCCAGAAACGGATTTCTGAGTCCCGGGGGATGCCACCCTGCCCGCGGCCCCCACCCTTCGGGCCGTCGTTCTCCTTCCCCGAGACCGTTTCGATTTGAAACTCCGCGTATGCCTTCTCCGCCGGCCGAATAACACGATGGCTCCATTATTGCGCCGAGTGCTTTTGGGTATTACGCGATCGGATCGGATTTCAAGTCTGCCCATCAAAATTATCAAAATGGAGAAAGAAGTAAATGGGTAAAAAAAAGATTCGTCCGCGGAAAGCGGAAATCGGAGAACTCCTCCCGCCCCCTCCTCCATCCCCCGACGAAAGCTTAGACCCGATTGAACCGCCAGCGTTAAATATATATCTTTGCGCGATTGTGTCTCGAATTAAATTTTTATTTATGAGGCGAATCTATTTGAAATCCACACTAAAAATGTAATCTTCCGTTTGCTCGTAATTTTATACTTTTAACTTATATTTTAAGTAAAATATATATTTTAATTTTTCTGTAACTCCGTGATATCTCGTTAAAAAAGTTCTCGATTTTGTTGTATAGGAAAAAAAAAAAAGAAAAAACGAAACTAGATAGAAAAATATCAGGTATTATCACATCGATCCCCCTTATTTTCCATGTCGCTATCCTTTTACCGATATCTTTGCTGGATATCGGTAAAAGGGCAGAATCGAGAGAGAATAACTATGAAATTTTTATTTAAACATCGTTCCGACGTTTGCTTCGCTTATGAAAACATTTGAGGCAAGGCAAAATTATGTCGGGTGTCTTTAGAGAGAGACTAGCGGATCGTTTTTCCGTGAAACAGATACGCCTGAGTTCTCCAAATGTTTCGCCAAGTTTCAGGTCTGCATCGAAAATTTCGGATTTAAGAGTTCGCCTTGTCACTTTGCGGACCCAGCCACGCAAACTTTATTCACGACACCGATTTATCCTCCCACTTTATGGATCGAATCAAAATACCTCTTGAATTTGATTACCATATCACGAAAGAAAAGTGACAATATTTTTTCTAGAGAATTCGTATAATAATTTGTACAATTAATACTACTAACACTAATAATAATAATAGTAGTAGAAGATTTAATAATAATAATAATGATAATATATAAGCTTTATCGAACGTACGAGAAACAGTAGTAATATTATGCCGTGTAATATAATTGTGCGGTTGGTAAATTGCAAGAATTCGCAACACAAACAGTTACAGCTTTCGGATGGTTCTTTGATTAAATAGTTTGGAACACACACGGACACGTTCGCTTCTCGAGCGCGAGGCTTCAAAAGCTGCTGGTTCGCTTTTACGTTATACGGAGGTCTCGAGGAAATCGCTCGTTTTATCCATCAAAATCTCACCTCCGCGGGATTAAGTGGCCTTCAGCGAGAGACAGTTGCGTTTTCTTCGAGGTGCGCTTATCAAAGGAACTTTCGCGACGATATTTTTGTCTGTCTTCGTACCTCTGAGAAAAAGTTTGCTGGGTGGAATTAGCGGGAACTTTATAGCCCACGGTCGTAAAGCACCAGTCCGCGCGCGCGGAGTTAAGCCGTGTACGCGCCCTGATCTTCTCTAGCCTTTTATTTTTTCCCTCTCCCGCGCGATGTACTTCGTTTCTCTCGTGATTTTCCACGTTCAATGGAAACTACTTAATTCAGCCGTCGTACGCCGTCGGAGAGACTGTTAAAAGCAAATTTGCTATATGACATAACATTGACTTAGCGTCCTGAGCAGCTTAAGATACCAAATTAATGAACAGTACCTCTGATGCAAATATGAAATCTAAAGTTTTGATTATTCTAACTCGGAATCGTATTCGACACTCTTCTCGTTTGAGATTTTCCTCTCCATTATTGCGACTCTCAAAAAAAAAAAAAAAAAAAAAAAAAAAAAAAAAATTAAAAAAAAAAAAAAAAAAAAAAAAAGAAACAGAAACTTATAATACTTGATTTTGTTAAAGTAGTGTTATCACCGAAAATAAACGTTATAAGTTCTTTGAAAATAATTTTGCCGTTACAAATCTGAAGTACGGAAACGGTGACGTTTATCAATTGGTTTTGTGGCAAAGTTGTATCACCAAAAATAAATGCTCAATTTCTCGAAAGTATAAATTATATCTCACAATTATATAATATATAAATCTCAAACGCGGCTGACTCCGTTGTTCGATTTTCTATCAACCGCGTGACATCGCAGTGATATAAACAAACCTCCAAATCAAACATGAGACTGACGCTGATCAAGTTCGGCTGAGATAATTGAAGTCAACTTCCCTGTCGTGCAATAAGATGGGTATCGCGGTTGCTAAATACGATCGTCTAATTTGGAAATTCGGTCGCACAATAGAAAAGGATCGAAAAGTGTTACGAAATTAGTGCGGGGAATCAAGAGGGGGCGAAGTATCGCCAGGTTGAATTTATCAATGGGCGCGATCGATTATTTCTTTTTTTCCGCTGGACATCAATATTCTCTCTTATAAGTCTTTCGAGGGAGAGGAAAGGACGTCGTTCGTTATAGAACGATTACTCGGGACTATGCGGCTACTCATGAATAGCCGAGGGCCGAGTGTACAAAAGCGCGCGAGAGGCACAGAGACGACCGTATCCCCTCGTGCATATTGCAAGGGAAGCCTCAAAATTACTTTCGAGCTCGGTTGGTAGTTAATGCTCGCCTCTCTCCCTCTCTTTCTCCCTCTCTCTTTGCGTCCTAGGGCTTTAAATATTCCAATTGGCGAAGTTCGCGTCATCGGTCGGCCGGCCGGTTCGGTGCCACGACAATAGGTGCACTGAGAAAACTAAATGAGCCGCGACGGTAATTCATTGTCAGTCTCAAAGTTTTACGCGCCGTCATGAATCGCGACGTCACGTCACGTCGACGTTTAGTTTCACTCGGTGGACCTCACCCTTTTCCGACAAAGGACGAAGCCCCGGTCGTGTCTATATCGAAAGGCGCAGGACGCGCAATGCCGCAATTGAGAAACCAGATAAGAGACAAACGTTTCGTTCGAAATCATTTCATCTCGCTATATAATATTTTGCCCGCCGCGAGAATATCGTGTCCTTAACTTTGATCTTGAAAAGTATGCCATATTTGAAATGAGAGTAATGACAGAAGACTTCCACGCGTTCGCCAGTGAATTTTCACCGGAGAAGAGGAGAAGATGTGAAAACGTGAAAAGAGAGTACGTGCCGTGTAAGCGAGTCCCTATTGACGTCGACCTTTTTTTGGTCTATCGACTAAAATTCAGAACAAGACAACGAACTCGCGGGAATATATGCGGCGAGAATACGGATCCTGTTGTGCGTGTGCGAGAAGCCACGTCAGTTATTTTAGTGTTCGCCGCGAGAAATCGATGTTAAGGACATTACATCCTCCTCGTCGTCGTCGTCGTCGTCGCCGCATCGTCGCGTATGGCAGTCGGTTGAAAATCAACGAAAAAACGAGAAAAAGCAAGGTTGATCGACGAGAGAGAAAAGAAGAACGTTTCGCGAGAGTCGAGAGGGACGATCGATGAATAGTGGAACGGGGGAAAAAAAAAAATGTTCCACGGGAGCGGGAGTAAGAACCTACGAAAATGTCGAGTGATTCGTGTACCACGGCGTCACCAAGACACACGTATACAGTTTCTGCGAGTCCCAGGCATCGACGTGTAGATTCAATTTGATGCTAATGCTTGCAGATGATATACCACAAAGGTATCAGGCCACTGATGAAAGTTAAACAGCCGGTGCGCGGGAGTGAATGGCAAAGTGGTATTACAACAACTTTCGTGTGCTCCGGCAAAATATGCGTACAAACGGCGAATAATGCGCATTATGTACTACACGTATATATATATATATATATATGCGACAAGACTTTCCTCAGTCTCCTTTTTTCAACCAGTAAACATTATCGGGCAATCATTTATATTCGAGCATGACACGTATTATTTAACCAAAGTTTCATGCGGTACTTTGTTATGTACTACATATACATGCATATTCATGGATGAATGATGTATTTGCTGAAGCATCTACACCCCATAAAAATATCAGGGTGAACTTAACACCTAATTTTTGCCCTCTAAAAAAATAGCGGTATTTATAACTGTATTAGCGGTATAAATTATTATTAGCAGCAACACACCTATTTTGCTCTTTAAAAAACGGAATTAATAGCATTATACGCCATGCAGTAATTCTTACTGTGTTGTGATGCTAATATTAACAGTGAGACTTATACATGTAGATACGGCGTGTTAAATTCATACCGCTACTTTTTAAAGGGTAAAAATTGGATAATCTAGGTAAATTTGTGTGAAATAATTTTGTTAGACTGTCAAAATATTAATGTAAGATACTCAAATTGGGTCACTGATTATGAGAAAGGATACAGTTATTTATAGCTGTGTTGTGTAGTGGTATAGTGTTATTAAATTTTTACGTTTAATTTTCTTCTATTTTATTCGCGAAGGATTAATCTTTTATAGTTCTATATACGTTTTACTCTCTTAAATATTACATCTCGCGATAATCAACTTTCTTTCTGTTTGTCAAAAACACCATATCCATTACGGGCGCCTGACTAGAAATTGACCCGACGTATCATGAGGCCCTGACCGGGTAATCTTAAGGCACGCCTTGTTAAGGCCATCCCGATTAGGTTCTCATCATTACGAAGTCGGGCTAATCATAGTGCAGCTGAAAGTAAATAATTTAATCAGGTCCTGATGAGGACTTGATGTACATGCCTTATCGGAAAATAATAATTATCAACGCAAATTTGACATCTTCTTTTCTAAAATGCTCGTTATATCTTTTCTAGACTATTTTATATAGGTAAATTAGCCCTTCTAAACTATTATTTATACCATATTCCTTTTATAGACATTTTTTGTAAATAAATTGTGAATAAAGGCATCGCTATTGATGGACGTTATTATATTTAAAATAAAAATACAAATACGACATGAAATTTTATTGATCCCTCATTAAATCTTTAAAAAAATTATTACAAAATTTATTAGCGGTATCTATTAGACTGTGTGTTTTTAAATATTTTAATTAATTATAGATTTTACGGTCAGAAAGCAAGATTACATAAATCGGAGCTTACCGCTCTTAATCATAATAAAAAGAGATGTTTACTCTCTGCCAATTTAATAAGAATTTCAAATTTGAAATCGACAGAGAAATATAGGTAACGTCTATCGATTCCCCAGACCATTAGTCATCAAGCGATGCTTCCGAGTCATGGTTGTGCTTTTTCATAATAATATACTACAATATTATTACAAAGCTTTTATATTAATCGTTATTAGCGACACGAATGATCGTAACATTAATTTGATTTCCTAAAGAACAGTTTCCATGCATTCAAGGATTTATCTGGCGTTCGCTTGACCTTACTTCTCTTTGATCTCTGCCCTATTTTTGTAACGATCATCCCCGAGGCGTTGCGATACTTCATCGACGTGCGTCATTCGGCGACCACCGTCCTGGCGACGACATTTTACTGCCTTGTCGGGGCTTCGTCATTTTATTTACTTCTCTCTCTCTCTTTCTCTCTCTCTCTCTCTCTCTCTCTCTCTCTCTCTATCTATCTATCTATCTCTCTTTAACCCTAGAAAATAGTTCAACGTGGAACCGTGGACCGCCCCATTTGCATGGATTTCAATCTCAAAGATCGTGAATCCGCGAGCGGTATCCTTTAGATAGACGTCGTCGTTACCCCTTTCTAGTCCGAATTAATGACTTACAGCTAGATCATGTAACCTTCAATGGATAATCTCGGATATAATTTTCATTTCTCATTTTATTCTTTAATTTTATTTTCGTCATTCAAGTAACTGTATCTTCTGTATAAATATATATATGCGCCGGACGATGTTCCTTTGGAGTGTCGATGGTCCGAGCACAGCATCCAATAGATATCCTCGGTGGAGAACTTTAACGCGTTAATGCAAATTCTCAATTTCAAGATTATTATATAATCCGGATGATTCGACAAAGAAAGAGAGAGAGAGAGAGAGAGAGAGGAATTTATCTGTAGTCACAATTATTCCTACTCGACGAAGGAGTAAAATACCCGGACGCTTTGTAATGCAATTTGTGTGACGATTATGAAAGTCAGGTACATATATTGAAACGCGTACAAACTGCTTTCGGCGAAACAGTAAAGCGAAAACGAAGCTTTTTACTGCTTCCTTCATAGAAAGGAGTTTCCGCGAATGGCGCCGGCGAAGTTGGACAACTCGCCATACATACCGGTAACGCTAAGAAACTTTTAATGAAAATCGAGCAAGACTCTTTTCTATCCCGCGATCTTCCGTCCCAGGGAATGGATTCGAAAATGGTTTTCCGAAATTCTATCTATTCCAGATGTGTATCGTCTGTACAAACTAACGTACAGAATTCACCCCCACCCCCCCACTTTTTTCACTTATTTTTCGACACCTCTGTGCAATTGGACCAGAAAAAAAAGGAACAAATTTATACTCCACACAAATACTATGCGAATACACGCGAGAGAAACTATATATAGTCCAAATGTGTCATATAATCTAAAATACCGATCCATTTATAATGCCAAATTATATCCAATTCGACTTATACTTAATCATTTCTCCAGGTCGTCATATTCTATTCAAATATGTTAATTTAACTAAAACAATGCAGTCAAATAATTATAGGTTTGACTGAAATCATTATCAACTAAGCATATGTTGAAAACAGAGACGTTTGTTTTTTGTTTCACGTTGCAAATAATCACGGAAATGAATTGATTTACATTTTGACGTACATGGAAGTTTTTAGAATAACAAATGTTTTTAACTCGAAAGAGATATAGAATTATCATTGTTTCTTTAGCATTGTCACCAGTGCTTGTGTTAGAGGTTAACGAAGAAAATAAAATTCGCACTATTATGGAAGAGTGATACCTAAAAGTTTGTATCAAAATATAATCTTATTAAACATTGCATTGTGGAAAGCGCGCGAAACGTCTCTCTCTCTCTCTCTCTCTCTCTCTCTCGTGTTTCTCCAGACTCGCGGCCGCTTCGGCGCTCGTAAGAGTTCGATTAATAAAATCTCACGCCAGTTGAACGAGCGTCGTAACGACGTCGGCGCCAGCGGGCGCGACGGAGGTGCATAACGATGACGCGAAAAGACGCGTCGTCGTCCCGATCTCGAGCGGCGACGAGAGGAAGAGAAACCGCGAAGGAGAGAGGGAGAGAGAGAGAGAGACGGCTAACGGAGAAGGAGACGACGGACGGATTCGCGGGATCGGTGGCGTGAGCGATCCACGCATGCGCGCTCGCGCCTTCGAAACTCGGCGCGCGTTCTCTCCTCGCCGTCATCGCCGCGCGCGACGTCCGTGCCGACTCTCAGTGGTGCACGATCGGTCGCGTGGTACGTACTGCGTGTCGTGACGGGTGCCAGTCGCGGGTGAATATAAGAGCCGAGAGAGAGTAAAAAGTAAAAAAAAAAAAAAAAGCACACCGAGGGTGTCGCACACTCTGCTCCGCGCTCTCCGCTCGGTTGTACACTTTCTATCTTTCCGTATATACCGTTTCTTCGATTCGCGTGCGACAGAGTTCCGAGGTACTCGCGCCTATATATACCTTCCTCACGTTCGGCGACGAACCGCGCTTATCGGCACCCCAGCGAGATTTCAGGACGAACAGCGGCCCGGAACATGAAAACACTTATGGAGAATCAGCTGTCCTGGCTCGCGCTGTTCATGACCGCCTTGTATTCTCGTGAGTATTTATCCTCCCCCCCCTCTCCCTCTCTCTCTCTCTCTCTCTCTCTCTCTGTCTTTTCTGTAGCCTCTCGATTCTATACTTGCGCGATCGTGCAACGACACCGGCGACCGGCGTTTTCGTTCTATTATAGCGTTCCGCTAGGAGTTCAAGTTGCGTTTCGCAGTTGCATACCTTTTGCTTTGATCTCGCGCCGTCTCTCCGAAGATTCGACTCATTTCCTGGCGCGATTGCAGGAAACGCGAGTAAGACGAGCTCGCCCTTTACGTCACGATCCTCGAGTGGGAATCTTTTAATTGGAGCAGTTCGATTCGCAGCGAATCGCACGACAGCGGATCGCTCGGATCAAAATATATCGCGCGTCTCTGTTCTCTTTTACGTAAGGTTCCACGGATTTTGAAATCCGCCGGCGGTGAGTTTTTCGATAACGCTCCGCGTTTTTAACTTACGCAACGATTGACAACGCTCCGGCCTCGTTTCAGCTGATCGTGTACCTTGCGTTGCTCTATTCAGTTCAGACTTCCTTGACGTGAATCCGCCTGTTATCCACGTGTTTCGCCGCGATAACATTCAGGGTTACATGGGGGTTTACATCCGACGTGCGTGAAAGTGACGTCTAAGGGATGAGCGATGACAGGTATTTCCGCAAACGCATTTGAGCCTCGTGCGAGCGATGCATTGTTGTCACGTTAATTGCAAAATCATCAAACGGAAAAAATTACTGGCGGGGAGGAAAACAAAAAAAAAACGCACGATAGATCATCGCGAATGAATTCGCACGCGTATTGTTTCGCGTACAATTTCACGTGCTCCAGTATTTTTGACGGGGGGGGGGGGGGGG